CATTAGAAAAGTACACCACATTTTACATTTTTTTGATAACTATTATAATTTGTCCTATCCCCCGTTTCCGGCTTGACGTCGACTTCTAGGACGTCTGTCTTGTGTGAATTTTTTGGAAATCACTCCAAAAATTAATTACTTAGTATGTACATTACTGACAAATGCTCTTTGTATTTAGTGCCTTTTTAGTGTAATTTCCCGTCTTTATATGGTAATTATTGTACCAAAGGTCATTGTTATTGGCAAATGAAATTAATAACCAATAATAGCGCATTCGCAAGCAAAAATTATGCGTTCTTAACGATCCTAGGTATCGTCATAATTACGTTTGTACTAGACATCATTAATCGCGTAGCAAGCCAATTTAGTTATAAAGGTTGTTTGAAAAAATACATTTATAACATATTTCATTCACATAATACCCCATTTCAGTAAAAATTGATAGAAAAAAATGATTTATTGTCTAATAGGTGCGCTTATCTGAGTTATCACTGATGTAAATAAAAAAACATCTAGATTTTAAACTGGCAGTACAGGTGGAGTCAATGTAAACTGATTCAATACAAACACTAAATAACTGCTTACTATCATAATTTATTGAGCCATCCTATATTTTCAGACTGCCCTAAAATTATCTGACTAACTCAAGAAAAGTACAAAACGAAGTTTGGGGAGGGACTAATATTTTTTTGTGGCTGTCCAAATACAGATAACGTCGGAAGATAAAAACCTATAAAACATGAGAAACGCTTTAGATCTTTAGAAAATATATCCCTTCCAGATTTTTTTTCAACTATACACTCAAAAGTGCAGCATCCCAGATTACCTGTGTTCTAAGTTACGTTGAATGATGTTTCTTTATAATCTTTTGCTGTTCTTCACAGGACATTTTCAAAAAGCCTTGCGTATGTGTGATCCGAACTAAGCCCTAAGCATTTCCTGGATTTTCTAAAAAATCTAAGTCCCAAGCGACCGGTGGTTTACCTTAAATTTGCCCACAATATTTACTACGTCACTAGCGTGGCAGTATTAAAATTAAATGTTACTTTTTGTAGATCACGGAAAACCATGTCACTCATTTCCGTGGGTATGTCGTTCTCTCAGCTTGCCTGTCTGCTAATCCCTGCCACAGCTAAAACTTTGAGAGCGCTGCTCAAGTTATGATGAAATTTTTACACAAGGTTACTACTATGCAAGGATAAAAAAGGTTTGTAGCTTATTCAAATCGATACAGTGGCAGCGGAGCTAGAGAGAAAAAATATGCAATCCTCCTAAATAATCCTAATAGCAGTGGTAGAACACCGATACTGAAATAGCTTTCAGCTGGTCGGGTACAACCGCTTGAATGTTTTCGACTATCCCAAAATCAGTTCCCTTGATGTGATTTTTCAACTTCGGGAAGAGAAAAAAGTCACAACGACTCAATTCAACACTTGATCTGATGAACGGTCGTGTGAGTTAAATTCGTCCCCGATATTTCTGACTGTCAACCGATGACCTGAACGCATAAGATGCCGGGTTCTGTCGATATTTTCATTAGTTCCTGAAGCTGAACGCCTTCCGCTTCGTGGTTCATCTTCAATCGACTCCCTCTCTTTGAACATAATAGAAAAGACTCACAAAAAAAAATCGCTACGGATAAACAAATTAAACGAGCGAGTTCAAAATTGTACTGAAGGCGGATCAGTTATAACCTGTCTCCCCTACCACTCCGACGTCTCCAGTATTGCCAAATCTAACGCTACGTTGCCAGTGTCATCACTTAATTTACAGACCTTGTAAGTGTGTTCATGATTTCCGACCCCGCACTTAACATATTAGACATGTTTGACACATTTGCTCTTAAAACTTGAATGATAAATATCATTCACGGATATACGTACGTCGCGATCCGACCGATACAGCTGCACTGCTGAGGATGCTGAGCGGCGAGACTAGCCATAGCAATGTTTATAGACGCCCGCTGGTATCATCGGCAAGATATAACTTTTTGTGAAAGTGTACGTGCTTTCAAAACTGTTTTTCTCAGGTAGACCAATCCTCCACTTGATCCATTTAATTTTTGTTAATATATGTTCGTAGCTAACTTTTTTCTCAGGTGGGTTAACTTGTGCCGACCTAATCGGGTAATAGCGTTACGTGGGAAGTACAGAGTCACTCTACTAGACTCATTCTAGGACGGTCATATTCGAATTTAGCATCCAAGATCACACAATGGTACTGAGTTCATTCGCTTTTAATTATTGCTCAAGTCTTATTTGCTTGTAACAATGGAGGGCGAAAATGGAAAATATGCACTATGTGCCTATACGAAGTATTTTGAGATTTCCTTCGCAAAAATTTCAAAACAATACGTAATGAGCTCTGTAAATATGCTGAGTGACGCAGACCATATCTCAGCAACGGCTTAACCAGAGCCATCCGTTATTATGTTGATTTTTCCATACTATTCATTTGAGGTTGAAGGGTTGAATGTCATTTTAGAGCCAACTGAGTTAAATGATGAGGTATAATTGAATCTGAATTTTTTCATATATCAGGCGCAAGCTATTTTAAATGAAACCAAGATCGTGAAAATCGGTGCAGCCAAACAGAAACTATATTACTTTTTTTGAAATGACCCTTTGCCAACGAAAACGAAAAATGACATTGAGAGAGAAAAAAGAAGATTTATTAAATTAGTACGTTAATTACGCATTTTTGCAAAATAATGGCGTTTGAATTAATAAAATTGAAAATACGCTCCCTAGCGGCCGTTCTAGGAAGCTGAAAATAATTTCCAGCCATTTCACTTCGCCACATTTGTTATGATTTTTTTTAACGGATGCTGAGATACAACCGGCGTCCTTTATTATTGGGTCACCCGGTACATATAACGGTTTTGGGTATTCTTTATATTTCGGTATCCAATCTAAAAATCATTCTGACAGTTTTTTATACATTCAACTTCAGAGTGTACCTTGAACGTATCGAAACGTCAGGAATGTTTTGCATTACCCGCTAGTAGCAAGCCTGGTTGTTTCGCAAGCTGTATGTACCCTTGAGCTGGCCCATGTCATATAGCTTATCAAATTGATATCCCATGAGTATCATACGGGTTGCATAAAATTGAAAGGAGGTAGAAAGCAGTTGACATGTTGAAGTAGGCACATTCTAATGATCAATGCAAGCTGAGCTGGATACGGTCCTAGGTCCTAGTATGGTATGCTCACTATTCAATATACTATGTGCGGTCTTTTTAAGTAGTTGGATAAGTCAGAGCTGGCCTCAACAAAAAACCTCTAGGTTTTGGATATTTTTTAAGCCTGGCAGCTTATCCGTATTCGTTCATAGTGGATATCGATCAACTTGTTATGACTAAAGTGTGGCCATCAGCTCTTAAACTACCTTGACGAGCATCACAGATGTGCGCAAGACTTGCAACGCTCATGATATTCCATGTTGCCATGTGGTTTCAGTCGATTTCTCGACCATCATCTAAAATTTATTATGCAATAAATGTTATTAACGTTCCGTTGAAGCTTACAAATGGCTTAGTAGACGCAAACAATAGGAAAACAGTCATGTAATTGTATCCATTAGCCCTGTAAAAATGGTGTCAAATCGGAAAATTCTGCAATCTCCCCGTGATATTTGTAAAGTTGTGAGAAAATCTTTGCAAGAAACCATATTGGCGTATGCTGTCTCGTGCTGGGACTTATGGTAACCAAATGCTGAAAGTCTTCATATTGGTTAGCAATGGGTTAGCTTGTTGCTGGAATAGTTATGTGTCTGAGAGCCAGATTAGCTTAAGGCTCCGTAATAATAAGAAAATTGCGACTTTATAAATTATGTCACATACTGAATGAAAATTGACATTATTATCATGGTCTTAACATACGAAACTCATTTCAGGCAAAAATGAACCCTACCTTGTCAAACTCTGAGGTACAGAGCTTGTTCCAGGTCAACATAAGCTCTTTTATTATACTATACATAGAAATTGGCAGAAGTCTTGTAACTTTTCGGAACTTCAGCATCTGTTTCTAACGCATTCATGTCAAAGTCTTTTCTGATTTGTTTATACTTCAAAGGTTTTATGCGAAATTCTTCGTCCATATGCCTCTTCAATTCTTTTTGAAAAAAAAACTGCTTCACGGATTTTTTACCCCACTCCGACTTATTCTCCAGTGCCGAGCGAGCATTCATTTTGGAGGCACCAATAGAATCCTCTCCAGGTAAAATATTCCGGGGATCGAGGTACTGCTCGCACTGTCTGTCAAAATCAAATGTTTGCTATATTAGACCATATTTTTACCATACGTATAATTACGTGATTGATACGATTTCAAAAAAGTAGTACTTGTCTTTGGCCACAATTTCTAGGAATGCCTCAAATTCTCAAATACTCGTACGTTCAGAAACTTGATATTTTCCAACATTATTTCGATTGTCACTAGAAATAATCACATAGACTAGTTCTTAAAATATTTGGCTTCTAGCTTGATTGTCGTTGTTAGTTCATTGTACATAAGAAAGTTATATATAAGCTTGAGAAGCATTAAAACGTTATTGAAAAATTGGAATATGGAAGGAAACTACATATTTGATTTTAAATTTTTTTTAAATAACTGACTAGGAAGCTTGTAAATCCAGAGCTTCCATTGTATTTAATAGTTCGGTAAGGAAACAAAGTGTAGTCCGGTGACTTGCTGCTAAGCATATCGTCGTTGCCGTGGAAAAAGCTCCTATGTGATAAATAGTAAAGTTTTCAGGAGATACGAAAAACATGTTCATGCTGAAAAGGTGTAGTAAAACAAGATGCATAGGACATAAGAATACTCTGTATTGAACATTTCATGCTTGTATTAATTGGGCAAGGAATATTAACAAAATTATAAAATAAAATTTTATTCTTAAATAAAACGTGTCCACATAGGAGCATTTACTATATTTAATAACGTCACATAGGAGATATTGCTTAATTATTAGACGTTACAATATAAATTAGCGATAAGGCACTACGAGTTGGAATTGCACTTTTTTACAGTGTTTTTGTCTTTTTTGAAGGTCAACTTGTCATAAAAATGATGATGCTCTTCTTCTATCACACCTTTTAGTTCTTGAAGGCATTTCCATTTCGTTTCAGCTATGGGAATTTCACAGGAATACAATGGAGGTGGTTTTTGAACATATCGTGTGAAAACTCGTTGGGGTAACTCTTCAAATTCCTCACTGTGCCGTATTTTGTAAAATATATCGCCAGTCGGGCGATATTCCAGTGCTCGGATGTCCACAACGTGTGGATCGCCCACTTTCTTCCCAGGTCGCAAAGATCGGAGATTTGTTGGCAATTTTTCGAAATTGAGAAAAAATTTGTAATCCAGTACGTTGATTTTATATGGTTGTTTGGGTCTAGCGCTTCTCATTTGAGCAATATAATCGCTAGGTGAATTTATTGGTGGGACGAAGTACTTCTCAAGCGAAGCGTGTACGCTGTCACACTCCATCATGGTGTGGCCCTTCTCTAAAAAGAGTTGTCTGATAAGAATTCCTGACTGCACTGCATAATCACGCAGAGCACTACCTAGAACCTTATTTCGATTTTGGTATGTGCAGCCATCAGATATTAACGTAACTGTTTGGTACTTGTGTTCACAAGATGACAGAAAATCTATCACACATGTGGCAAACTCGTTCGAGGATACTCCGCCATTTGACTCATGCCAGACATAAAGAGATACTTCTTTGTTATTTAGCACAAAAATGGTAAAATTGTGTAGTTGTAGCTTCTGTTTGTAATACATCCTAGAGGCATCAGTTTTAGGGCATAATAAAACACTTTGTAGATCCATAGTCAGGACGAGATGTGTGTCATTAGCCTCAGCCTTTGCTTTATTCTTTGCATCTCGAGCTTCGTTTTTCATAATGATATGCTTTTGATATTCATCGTAGGAAACCGATTTTACCTTGTACCCACAACATATGTCGCATTGGTCCTTACGAGGTGAATGTATCTTAATTTTTTCCTGCTTAAGGACATCTAAAAAGAATGTTCTTGAGGCTGCCTTTGTATCATTACTTTTGCACCAGTCTTCATATACACTATACATGTGTGACAGAGATCTAAATGTCGATTCTACGTAAGTACAACTGCTTGTACTTCGGCAATAATGGCTAGGAACCTTAGGGGCAGCGCTAACCATTTTAAAATATTGTTTTTCATTTCATTGTGAATTTTCTTCTTAACTCCTTCTGCTATTGTTCTCTTCTTCCGTTTCGGTATGTCGTCCCGTTCGGTTTCATTTTCTGCAAAAGTGTCGCTTCGTCTAACCCATCTCCTAAATGTATCTTCCCCTAGATCAAGTGTATTAATAAAGAAACGTCTGCAAACCCTTACTCTTTCTCCATTACATTTCGGCAAGAATATATCGTGTCCTTCTTTCTTTTTTGAGTTATTGTTTGCGTCTTTTCTCCTTCTTCTAACATCTCTGGTGCTAGTCAATCCTTTAACGAATGCTTTCTTTTCAGGCCAGCTACTAAAATTCCAAAATTTCTTGAAAATTCGTTGCCTATCGTTTTCAGATACCATGTTACAAAGAAAACTTCTTTCACTTTTCTTACCGCATAAAGTGTGACTACAACGCTCCTTTACTGATCTCGATGTCTTCATACAATTTTGTTTTATTTTACCATCATCGGATTTTTTGTAGCCAACATAAGATAACCCGGCAACTCTGCTTTTTTTGGCTTTAAGACGTTTCTTACTTATACGTGAAACTGAACTATCTGACCACGAACTTGAGCATGAACTATTACCTCCCTCTCCAAGGGTTCCCCCATTTTGTTCGATTGATGTGCGCACTTCATCCAAATCTCTTCCATCGTTTTGTGTTTTTACATCCGTAGTTTGATTTTGCACAGTATTCACCTCCATCACTGGATTCGCTGAAGTATGCTCTACGTTAGAATCTTCCACTTCCTCTTCTATTATAAATGCTTCATCAGTAGTCGAAATTGGTATAACAGTGCCATCAATATGACTGACAATGCACTCCTCCCATTCACTATCCATGCCTAAATCCTTTTGATCTGCTTCTCCGTAAACACAATGTGAGCTTTCGTTGCATACATTTTTATCATTTTCGATATTTTCCAGTGCCGCTTGAAGAATTCGCCTACTTCGACTCGACATTATGATTATCTACAAAAAAAAGCTCGGGATAGAATATGTTTACAGCAATGAACGCCTGAAAGTAAAAAACAGCTAATCAGATGTTGAACGTTAGGGTACGAACACAAAGAAAGCAGGTTTATCAGCGCCGACTCTCGACGTCGAAAACCGGCGCCTGTACGAGCACAAAGAAAACAACTAGCCGGGTGCGGACACAAAGAAAGCATGTTACCTGCTTACTTGTAGTCGACGCTTACAAACGCCAAGAATTAAGTACGCTTTTGAAATGTCCCGCACACAGATAAAACTTGTTGTAACACCCTGTTTATAGACCTTGATCCTTTTATGTTGTATAAAATACTACCAAATCTGCTAGTATGTCAATCATGGTTCATCAGTATAATAGATAAAATAGAACTTACCTCAGTTGAACGGTTTCGTTGTAACTAATAGCAGCAATAAGCTCAAAAAAGTAATTCCGTTTAAATGCTGAAGCACAGTACCTTTCGGATTCTAACCTCTAATGTGCACAAACTAGACACGTGGTGAATGGTCAAAATCACTTATGTGTTAGAGAGTCTAACACATAAGAGGTTTTACAACAACAGCTATAATAATAGAGGTGGAGAAGTCTTCTATGTGTCAGCACTGGATGCTTCTGTGTACATAAGAGATTTTGCACAAATGATTTTTTGTGATGTGTACATAGGAGATTTTATTTTTTCAGAATAACACAGGTTAAGCTAAAACAGCACATATAGGGTTTTGCCACATTACAGAGACATTCATTACTTTTACGTTGGTATCAAAATACCAATTTCGTAAAAATTACACATGAGAGGTTTTTCCACGGCAACGACGATATCTTATCTCCGAATATTGTGCAAATCCTGCTATTCGTTCCCTGATTAGTGCTAAATGAAGTGCTATGCATAAAATTAAAGTTTTAAGAAAGTTCTAACAAATCTAAATAGTCTCCAGTAGGTATCATAATTTGTTTAGTCAATAGACGTCTTCGAGTGGCTACAAAATAAAAGAACAAATATTCTCTATCCTTGTCAACCGATATTACAAGCAAGATTATACATCTAGCTGTCTTTATTTATTGCTGATTTTCATTACCGACGGTTGTTGAACATTCCATTGTCTCACACGATTTTCTGTTTAACAGCTTTTTAATTTGTATTTCGGCTGCGGCTTATACAGATAACTTGATGCACACGTATGTATGGTTCCATTTACAAGGACGAAAAATAATAATACACATCATGTATATCAGCGAATTAATGAGCGTCGTTCTTTTTACGCACGGTATATAGTTCAGAGACGTATCTAGGTAAATTCTGTTTTGCTGCGGAAAAATTACTATTCTCAGTTCACGCGTTTATCTATCGCTTTATTCGGATGTTAACAAAGATGCCACAGAAGGTGGTATGAACCATCTCCTATAGAGGTCATATCCAATAGCGATGATTAAAAAAAATTGTCACTGATATTTCATCTGATATAATATTTTATCCTATATCAAAACAAAATACTAAAAATGCAGACTTTTGTAAGCACATGGGTACATATTTTAAGGAAGTTTTTGAGATATATGAAAATACGTGTGAAACTGTCTTTAGTATTGTTTTTAAAAGGGATATGCACAGGTTATTTTTCCTTTAGTGGTTAATAATTTCACGGATATACCAATTCAATGATTAAAACAATCGATACTTCACCGACATATGCGGCATATTCACAAAAATTGATACACGTACATCGCTTATATGTTAAATTAGAACAAAGAAAACCGTTTTATTGTGTTACGTCATCGTTATTATCTAAGTATTTTGTATTTTTATCCGCGCTCAAGGGCCACCTTTCAGTGGGCTCTTCATTTATTTGTCCTCTACGTATTTTTTTGTGTGTATTTGATCTGTATTCTGGAGGCAAATAAATATAACTACTACTATTACTACGAGATACTTTGATCTCCGCTAGGACAAGTCATCTTTCTAAAAAAAATAGGTTACACAATATTGTAAATTCCATCAATTTCTAAGAGCAGTACTACTTGGGAACAGCTACAAGAATACTAAAAGATAAGCAACTCTCTACATGTTATGCACTCAAACACGGTTCATCAGGCTAAATTGCAAGTTGTCTTGACTCTTCTATGTTAACAAATTCAAATAATTTTTTCAAGTTCTAGAATGTTCGTGTTTTAAGAATGGTGAATGCGCGGACCGTAATTATTATTAAGGTGCCCACCCACTAATACTACTTTGGTGTATTCTCGAGTTTATTTATCATATGTTCTGTTTCGTCTACCTATATCTACATTTCATTCCTATATAGAGTGCTTTTCAGAAATGTCTCGCCCTCCGCTTTGTAACCACCATCTTGGAACATACTTTAAAATGGAATGAGGGGTTATGTGATACCTCATTTTGAAGTTCATCATACTAGTGATTTTATATTGTAGGAAACATCAATTTAATCGCCCCTTTCAGCTTGCTATCTTGACCTTCTTAAAAATAAAATAGGGAGGGGGACCTTGTAGAAAAACACAATTCGCATCTATTACTTTACACATCTTCTGCAATACTTAATTTTGAATGTAGTCAGTAAGAATTACTGAAGCATGATTATTACAAACCATTATAGCATATATCACTGAATAAAGTTACCCTTTTCAACCATTCACCTTTTGATTTTCAGTAACTTAGCGACCCTAATAATTATATCGTGCTCATAACTAACATTGAAAATATACAAACAAAATAATTAGAATAATAGCTAATGCGTACAAAACTTATTCTTCTTTGAAATTTACTGAATATTAGATAAAGAAAAATAGACAATTATGTAAACAAAAATTTGTCGTCATTTTATGTGCTCAAAACTCTGTTACCATATTCAAACGCTAACTGACTAGTAAGTTGATCATATAAATTCCAAAAGGAACTTCTTTTCATTTCTCAAATAACTTTCCAGCCTGAAACCGTTTCAGCAAATGTAATTATGTTCTGAACACCTTCAAAGGTTCACTTTCTATTTTCCCCTGAATACGGCTGTGTATTACGACTATGCTATTTATCATAGGAACGATCAATACAAAGTATATACATTCTTCTCTGTGAGTTATAACAAACCCATAAAACCAGATCAAAGGTACAAGGTTCCACCACGAAAAACCCATTAGACATCAGACCACACAACCATAGATTCCCAAACATGTTTATCCCCAGAATAGTCAACCCATAAAGCAAAGTGGCAACACTGGTCGCATCACCATGTATATACCTACTACCTCTTTACCGGATTCCCAATGATTTCGGAATTTCGTCCTCGTACAAAGTGATTGGTCAGAGCCGGTTCGGAACGAGAAATATACGGCATTATTAGAAAGTGTGTTAAATTTTGCATTCTAGTTTTTACGGTACACTTGCGAACGAAACTACATACAAAATGCCGAAAGGTAAGATGTGATGCACATTTCTTACTCTTTATTTTTGTTTTACTTCCCATGCCTTATAATGGGTGTATGGGTTAATTGATTCTCGCTCATTTAAGTCGAAGAAATTATCTGTCTGATACGGAATCAGACTGAATTAAAAAAAAATGTCCAGGGCCTCTTGTTTTTTTATATAAAATTTGTTTTCCCACAAAGCTGGCGCTTTTTAATAGATTGGCCCTAGATATTTTAATTTTTGTTTATACATGTTTTCGTCATGATACGAAATCCTATTTATCTATGCCTATTTGCAAAACTATTACAGTCAGTTGGGCCTGGCAGATTAATTGGCATGCAAAAACATTCTTAGGGGTGCGAGAAGAGTAATAATTTTCAAAAATACTCAAATTCTACTGCATGTTGTTGTTGCTGTTTTCTAGATATCAGTACATTTAGATACTAATAAGAGGGTTTGATCGAAATTAGCGAAATATGAGGCTTAAGCTAACAAGTTGATATACTGATTTGATTTTACTGATCTCTTCATAATATTGGCTATGTATTTATACCTCACTCATTTTTAGTAAAAATATAGCCTAATTAAAATAACTTTGTCTTCATTTTTATATTTATCTATTTTATTTAATTTTCGAATATTCGAGCGCTGGTCTATCGGACCGACAAGAAATACAAAAATTAAGTTATTTTCTCAAGAGGCCAAATAAAGTCAAGTATTTATAACTTTTTCTTTAAAATAAAAACCAATAATACTGACAAAATATATAATTATAATATTACAGACGACACAAACTTTCGCTCTGGGAACCGTTGGCGGATGTACGAAGTTTAATACCCAGCCTAATACGGCCATTTTAAAAAAATGCATTTTCAGAATAGTTGTCGCATTTATCACGAATGCACCCACTTTTAAAACGATTCAGGAAAGCGAATCTTCTAAACTAGGAGATGCACTAAGTCATTCATAAATAAAATATGTATTCATAAAACAAAAATATGTAGTTATTTGAATTTGCAATAACAGAAACCTCAAATGACTCACAAATCATCATATGCAATCGGTTCGTTTAAAATTAAAATGAGTCAAACCTAATTTTTAGTGGAAATTACAGAGGATACTGAGAAATCCTTGTGTCAGCTTTTCATAATTTTAACGCGTTTATTTTCTGATCGCAAATTTGTTGCTGGAGGACCTTCGTCTATCGTATCTTTTGAGGATAGCTGCCTTGAAAACTAATTCAAATTATATTCTAGTCCAAGAAATACAATATTACTGTCAAAGCTTCTATCTTCTATGAAACTTTGTAACGGTACATGTTCGAATAAGGTGATTGGTCATAACTTATCGAGGTACCAACTCATAAATACATATACAATAATTGTGAAATATAGCTACAAACAACTTATTGCAAATTAGAAACCACGTAGGCTAAAAATATTGCAGCTCACTGTACGTCAATATTCCTAATAATTTTCGGGCTCGCAGTATCTATAAAAAAATTAATGTTGCAATTAAGTGTTAATTGACAAGCGAGATGTTGAACACCTTGGACTTGAGGTCAATAAAACCCTTGCTTAGAAAAATCCTGTTTTGTAAATTATTATTGTCGTTTTAAATATCCATTATGACGCAATCGTTTAAATGCAGAATATTTGCATCACTGTTTTTGGCGAAATATTCAGGACTTTCCAAATTCTTATAATAGAATCACAAAAAAATGGAAGCCAAAATAAAAAAAAACAGCAAAGCTCAAAAACATGATTCAGTCGACAAGGCGGTTTATCCTTTATAAGAATGATGTTAGAATATAGTACACAAGAGTAGATTTGTTTGAAATATATAGTAATAGGAAGAACTGGCTGTTCGCAAATACAGTAAATGGATGATACATATATAGTGGCTTACTTTAGGTCAAAGGTAGCCCTTTGTTATTTTCAATCGATGGTGCCTATCTACAAACATTGAACTTTTCGATAGATTAAAAAAGGAAAGATAAATAAATAACAGGAAAATACGGATTTTCATTTTATATTATAAATATATAAAATTTTACAGTTATAGTCCGAACATATGCTAACCTAAAATAATGTATTCACCCATCATTTGTTTTTTCGAAATTATAATCAAGAATTAACGTTTTTCAGAGTTCTAGAAATGTAGGAAATGTGACGCGCTTGTGGCGGCAGACAAAAAAATTGTTTTACAGTTCTTCTACATATCACTTCTTAAATATGGAACCTTTTCTTTGCATTTTATATAAATATTTTAGAAAGTGTACAATGAAAATTTCTCAAATATTGTATACACGTATATGAAATTTATAGCGTATATCCAGAACTCACCTAGAATATCTACAATTAAAACGTTCGATTGCATCAGTAGGTTTTTTCAAAGCTCAGTTATTACTTCTCTAGCTGTTTTTTAAGCTAACTATATTCTCCTACAATTGGATTAGTCTATTGGGAAATTATGTATAAAATCATATATTTTTTGTTTTCAGTTTTTTATTAGAGCCATATAATTCTTTGTTACAGTTGCCGCAACAATGTTGTCAGATATGAGCGAGATGCCCACCATACAGCTGGGTAACTTCACGTTACAAATGGAACTGGAAGACCTCAGGCCCGAAGTTCAGGAAATAGCGAGAAAGGAACTTAGGGAAACTCCAGAAATTAAGAAAGAAGCAATTGAAAAGTTAAGGGAGCTTTTAAAACGTATGTTTCCACGCAGCTACAAAATTACATCGAGTTCTTTTGTTAACGTTTTCTTCTGTGCTTTTTCTTCACCTTAGGGTCACGGAGATAATAACCTGATCCTATTTTTAATTGTGGAATGAAATAAACGAACATATTTGTGCATTTGAAACTTTTTAAATAACATGTTTTTTCCTTTTCAGAGGAAAAAGACTTACATGTACCTTTAAACAACGACATATGGCTGGTCAGATTTTTGAGACCTTGTAAATTTTACCCTGAAAGTGCCCTAGGACTGGTAAGACTTAAAACACTTAAATATTTTGTAAAAGTTCTGCTTGGTGCGAAACAAGTATCTAGTGGTTGAATATCTCATAATTTCATAGAATATGAAACTCTAGCACGACAAAGTACAAAGTACCTACTTGATATTCTTGCATTTCATTGCTGATGTTTTATGAGTAAGACGTATAATAACACTGTAAACAGGGTGTTAGCTAAACATGCGGCAAAAATTCAAGGGGTTATTCCTCGGCCTATTATAAGAAAATTTTGACTTTTGATGATTTCTGAAAAACACCCCTTTGTTTCGAAGATACAGGGTGAACAAAATTTGAGACAACCATATTCAATATTTATTGAAATCATTAATGTAAAGAAAAGTATGCCATACTCCAATGAGTTTAGTAAGTACAAAAAATTATTGACGAAAACTTGGAACGGATGTTTCATCTACTGACGTACAAGTGGATTTCATTTAAATAAGTATCGTAACTTATAATGACCGGTATCTGTCGCAGTTGTTTACATTGAGTGACGTTTGGCTATTTGACATGTTAATAGTGTAGTGAAGCTCTGTACCATGTATGATAACACCGAGATGACTGACAGCCATTTCATGTATATACTTGCTGATGGCAATTCATTGGAAGCTAGACGATTGTACTCGTACATTGAACGGTTTCCTGACCGTAATATCCCCGTCCGAAAAATCTTCGAAAACATTCATCGATATCTTCGAGAAACAGGCACGTTGAAACGAAATGGGGGGCCAGGAAGATTAATGACTGTAAGAACGGTACAACTGGGATAGTATTGCATTGTTAATGGCTTTTGTAAGGATTAGTTCTAATTCCTCAGTTCCTGACATATTCTTTTCACCGATGAAGCCAGTTTCACAAGAAATGCAATACGAAATTTCCATTACAACCATGTGTGGGCAGTTGAAAATCCGTATGAGATATATGTAAATCGATTTCAACATCAGTTCTCCTTGAATGTTCGGGTAGGAATTGTGGGTGACTATCTAATTGGACCGCTATTTCTACCAGCAAGATTTACTGGCGTGATTTATCGTCACTTTTTGGAAGAAGCACTGCCCGAGTTTCTGCATTTGCGACAAGAATTGCAATGTGGTTTTTGCACGATGGTGCACCACCACATATCAGTTTGGTTGCTAGTGATTTCTTAATAGCAACATACGGAGATTGGTGGATTGGTCGAGGTGGGCCACACGCATAGCCTGCTCGATCCCCAGACTTAAACCCCCTTGATTTATTTCTTATCGGGGCTCTGAAGTCATTAGTTTACGCTACTCCAGTGGAGAATTCGTACTAATTACGAAATCAGATAATTGCTCAATTAGAAACAACTCTGGTGTGTTTGAAAGAGTTCGGCACTCAATGACGAGAAGATTGAATGCTTGTATCCAGGCTGGAAGAAGTCATTTCGAACATTCATTGTAAGTTGAGCAACTTTACATGTACTTTTTGATAATAAGATGTTATTACCGTCGCAAATTTTGTTCACCCTGTATCTTCGAAACAAAGGGGTTTTCCAGAAAACATCATCAAACAAAATATTCTTATAATAGGCCAAGGAATAATCGCTTGCATTTTTGTCGCATTTTTACCCCCAGTATAATGAGTAGCATTATATGATACTTATTTGTGTGAATATGAAAACTTGATATGTAGGACGTAATGTAATGATGAGACATGAACTACACAACAATTTGTTTATGAAGCCATAATTTGATAATTACTTATTATTATCCGAGCAATCTGTAATAAAAATAAAATTAATGGAATCCTAAAACAAATTACAATTAAATTGTACGGTAAGAAACCACGGGCTTTTTTTTCTGTTATTTTGCTCATCTACACTGACAAGCATAGTGAGATATTTTGTTTTCTAGCAATTTGAAATTTGTTTTAGATAAAACGGTATTACGCTTTCAAAGTAAAACATGCAGATATGTACGATGGACTATTACCTAGTAAAGAAAAGAATGTTTTTGAACAAAATATCCTGACTGTGCAACCAAACAGGGACCAACATGGTAGAAGAATTTTAATCATAGAATTAGGAAGTAAGTACATACTTTAATCCTGAAAAAATGTGTTCCTTATATTCTAAGATGTTGATAGATCCATTTTGAATTTGTTATTATTAGTCAAATGTTGGTGGGACTTATGCTCTTGGTCAAAGTGTTATCAATAAGCTTGTCGGATCTGGTTGTCCAAATGACAGATAGAGTCAGGAAGAAAGAAAAGAAGGCAGAGAGATATCAAAGAGATGAAAGTGTGTCGGCTTCAGAAGTGCTTCAGCACTGCTGACTAAGACTCGGAAATTCTAAATTTGCTTTAACCCAAAATTGCATGATTCGATTCGAACGTGCTGTGTACTGACTCGTGTAACAGAGGGTTACTGTCCAATTTTCCAAGTATGGAAATCACAAGTAAAAATAATCAACGAAACCTAAAATTCAATTGCCATTTGAACGGAGTAAAACAGCTGTACATTTAAACTAATCAATTTATGTTTATCATTATTGGGTAACAACAAATGCAATCCTTTGTATTATGTACAGCGTAACTTAATTGAATTACACTATCAATACATGCTTGTTAGCATTAGTTTTCAGTTATGTTAAGCATGAGTCTAATCAGTTTAGAGTTTAAGTATCATGCAACATGTGCAATTATTTTAAACCATGTTTTTGGTTTTTGGACACATACGAACGGTTTTTAGGAATTGTGTACAGGGTTTCCTTAAGGTTGGGACTTTCCTTCAAACAGCAAGGATAAAAAAATTGCGACAATTGCAAAAACAAACTCGAGATATATGATGATAGTTTACGATGTTTTCAAAATTCTTCCGAGTCTTTGCCAGTGGACAAGTTTATTTGCTTATGTTTGTTATAAACGACCAGGCGCATGAGCGTCCGCAAGATTTTTTTTTTTGGCAAAAGACAGTATTCCTGCTTCCAAAACTTTTTAAAGAGCGAGGCGTAGCAAATTTTATTAAAAAATCCCTAAAATTGCACACAAAATTATGCAAAATATGCAAATTTCATGGTCCAATTGGCTTCTCAGGGACCATGCAAGCCCCCTTCTGCCATCTTTATGCGGACGCCCATGGCATACAGACCGTTTGTAGAAACTCTTATGCGTACAATCCCAGACAACCCTGGGTCCTACAAATCTTGAGTACAAACTGCGTTTTTGGAATTCAACGGCAACAGCTTCAAAACAGTTTTTTGCTATTTAACCGCAAAGTATTAGCTTTCTCGTTTCAAGCGTTGTTGTTCCCAAAAGTCTCAACCTTAACATCATGTACAGTAAGTAGTTTTCTCACTCAGGATGATTACCACGCTAATATATATCTGATGGGTTAAATTAGAAGCTATCAAAAGATGATACAGTGGTTGCATTTGTCAGAATTGAGGACAGTGTCCCTCCTAGCCGCCCAAGTCTGCCATTTTTTTGTCACGGAAATGGCATATATTGCTGACCCTTGGTTTAAAAATTACCTTCTATACCTGAATCGTGAGACGTGCGCTCTTCTCTCCCCCCTGGACGTATCTCACCTCCCGCTTTCTCTTCAATTCTCATAAGGGCATTTACTCTCAGAGGCGATGCTTCAGTGCTGAAGTATGCAACCGTCATTCCCCTTCCATTCTTCCATTTTTAATCGTCGATAACTCCCCCCCCCCCTCCAAGACGAACATCTTCCTGAATCTACATGAATGCTGTAACCACGAGAGTCTATAAATTCTTGCTCCGCAGCAATCTGTTGTTGACAGTATCTTCTAAATAAAGAGCATTCATGTCGAAAAATATAACCATCTCAAACTAAATGACTCGTACTTTCTTACAGAAAAATGGAAAACTGATAAAGTAACGTTAGATGAAGTATTCAAAGGCTGCGTACTGTTCCTCGAGGCTGCTATGTTAGAACCAGAATCGCAAGTATGTGGCGCCGTAGTCATATTCGACATGGACGGTCTGTCTATGGGACAGACTACCAAATTCACACCCATGTTCGCAAAGAGGATAGTCGACTGGTTACAGGTAAATATACATTCGAGGTCCTACTAAAACTGTACTATCAAATAAATCTCCATGTTGTGCTGGAAGTAAAAGGCCGAAACATCTGACAATAAAGAGCAACTGCATATACGGTTTGATTCGACCAGACAATAGTTCTGTCAACATGAAAACCATAGAATAAGTTTCAGTAATTTCTTTAATAAAGGTGTTGCTCCACTGCGTTCACATTAAAAAAAGGTCTCATTATTATTGACTTGTTTTAAAGTTTGTTTTTTAATGTGAGTGCAGTTGAGCAACGTTTTTATTTTTATATATTATTTCTTGTATCTTGTGGAGCAAAAAGTGTTGCGACCATGCGCTCATATAAAAATATTATGTTTAATATTCGAAAATAGGCGAATTTTGGACGAAACTGCGAAATTTGGGCTTTAAAAAACATTCAAGTACTACAATTTAAAAAAAACATAGATGAAAGTTGAAATTTAAATTTAAATTTGTTAATAAATATCAAAATACAAAAATTTCATATAATATGGGTTCAACTTGAAGTTTGAGTTATTTTCTGGGCCAAAAGCCTCGCTTAATCCTGTTGGAGCCAAAGATACGTAAGCATTTGTAGCGTGGAAGTTTTTTCACGTCCTGTTCGTAGAATGTGACCTTACGTATGCTATGCGAGTTAGGCTTCTGACAGATATGAGGTAAATAACCTTTATTTTCTGACAGTTTGATATGTACCCAGAAGGAAAATCAAATCCTATTGGCTGATTTCTTCAACTTAAGATGTATAGTAATGTAGTTAGCTGGCTCGGATTATTTGAGTTTCCATTATTTATTTGGAGGAAATGTTTTTCATTTTCTTTTTCTAGTACTCGGGATCCTATTTTGTGTTTTACAGCGTCCGGTTGCAACCTTTGATCATGCGACTGACTAAACCTGCATAACTATCATACAAATAAGTTAAAATAAGTAGGCAATTTTCTATTGTTCGTCCACATGAAATGTAAAGAAAATAAGTGTCTGTAGGTAGTCGTTAAATGCTTATCTAAACGCAGACTGAGACGTTTGGAATATTTCACTAAATGACACTCCGTACGTTCATTATAAACATATTAAAAAGAATTCCATTATCTTGTTATCAGACTGACATGTTGATGCTGGAAGTGATTTCACTATTCTAAATGCCACTTGTGGAAAACTTTGCTGGAATGTCAAGTATTTAGATGCGGTTGAAGATGGCAATAATCAATATTTACGCAGACAAATATCTTACGTAATTTAAATGTAATCATTTGCAAATACTCACGTATGCACTATTCTATTCTTTTAAATCTTTCATCAAGCTAAACATGCATCGAGTGGGCTTACAACCTTGTTTTTACTATGAAAACATTTTTAATACTCACCCTTTGTCTTTTGACGGTTTTCAAATAAAACCTCGGTTTCAAAGTTCAAAACTCGTGATGTAGGTGCTATAGTTGCTGGAATAAATCACACTGGTGTGTTCGAAGTAATTTAGCATTTTATTATGAGGAGGCTTAACCCTTCCACAATAATTATTTTGAACAGTTTTTGAACATTTAAATATAATTTTTACTAATACAAATATTATTTGGAAATCTTGTTGTATCTATATATTAAAAACGAATCGGTTTCCCAAAAATCGTCAAAGTGGAAATAGTCCTAAAATTGTCCCAAGGTCGTTCCCTGAATTTTTTTCACATGCTCTTGTACATCATAATAGCGCGATTACTCACATGGTTCCGATCATTAACTAGCTGAAACGTAATGAATGGTTAAAATGCCTGAAATTGCAATAAAGGTCATTTGAGATAAGCGTTTTAATTAAATATTACTTACACGTTCAGCTATAGACATTTAGATTATTTTTTATCCATGACCGGTACATAACGTTAGAAAAACCGCAAGTTTGGAGACTCGTAGTGCATTTGTAATGTGTCATAGGCATCGAAATAATGAGAACTTGAGTCATATATTTTTTCTTCAAAGCAATTCAACTCATTCAATTCAATAGATTTTGATTTTCACTATGTATCCACTTTAAAATAATTCCTCGATACATGTAGGAATCTTGTACGATATAAATTTTTATTACTTGAATGGAACTTCTCTTTTTTCTCCAGAAGATTGACGTTTTGGCGTGTGTATGGTCACGCTCCATCCTTGGAAAACGGATGTTAATAATCTTATTAAAAATACAGTTTTGTCTCTGAAGAGAATAAATGTGATTCTGGAAAATCTTTTTACAATATCAGCAGCTTATGCGTAGGTGAATCAATTAAACAGCTATTTTTTTAACTGGACTTTTTTGCATGCAGTCTCTATAACAATGACCAACCTCATACTACATTGTTTCATGCATATTAGCAATCATCAGTATGGTTTAGGTTCACTGGTTGACAAATGCCACATACAAATGGTTCGCCAAAGCTTGAAACACCTTCAGGCCATTACGTTGAAAATGACAGAAGGCCCCTACACTGAAAGACAGTTACCGTTCTGAATGGATAGATGTCGCCCACCATCATTGCAAGGACGATCTGAATTGGGCTGCGTTCGTGAATTGTTACAGAGTGTACTTGGTATTACTCTGTAACTATTTCAGCGTTCGTAATTGTTTGACATAGCTTGCACTTTTCTTCCCGTACTCAAAAACTTCGGAATAAGAGTATTGTCACTTGTCATTCTCATGGATCATTGTTGTGTCTTTATTTGCTTACGAAAAAGTGCTCAAAACTGGCATATATTTATATATAATATATATATATATATATATATATATATATATATTTCGCAATAAATACGAGATATATCCATAGCGTTTGTTGTAATAAAATGTTCACAGTAAACGTCGTTAGAAATTGAGCTGTCATTAAGTGTCATTACATGACTGTGATAATTTAGGCCTTAGAAGAATAAACCTACATTCCATTACTGTGTGGGGTATTACCTTACCAAGTGAATTACAAACGCACCCGTGAATGTGTTTGACATATATCTTTTTGTTTCCAGGACAGCGTACCCCTGCGTATCAAGAACATCCACATCGTGAACCAACCCTACATTTTCAAGGTGGTGTTCGCTCTGTTTAAGCCCTTCTTGCGCGAGAAACTGCGCAACAGGATCATCTTCCACGGGACCGACCGCAAGTCGCTGCACCAACACATGGCCCCCGAATGTCTTCCGGCGTGCTATGGAGGCACCTTGGAGCTGCCGCGTATTGATGGCGCCCAGTGGCTCGAGTTGCTGGAGAAGTGCGATAACGAGTTCAAGGGTGAGGATACTTGTCTTCTTCTTCGCCATGATCATCTCTTTCCTTTGCTTTCCTCATTATCTTCTGTACCAGGCACAGTGGGGTACTGCACAATGACAGCCTAGGATGGGCCAGGCCTACGTAGCATTGAATCAATGTGTGTATAGAAACCTGGGAAAGGTGTTGCGAGATAAAGATGACTACAAGAAGGCCAGGAGGTTCATACCGGCTCGCGACAAACTTCAGACGTATTGGCTGCTGGGTAAAGATGGAAAATTACTCAGCCTTCGGTGAGGGTTCTCACCGGCCACTGTAGACTGAACAGTCAGTTGTCCTTGCTCCAGGTGCTGCAAGCAGGACGAGACAGCATTCTACTTTCTAGGCTTTCGCCCCGTATATTGCAGTCTAAGGACTGACATATGCATGCAGTTTAATAGTGAGGTTACATACATAACGAAGTGGTCGGACAACCTGACCTTCATCAGGAGGTCAGAAAGGCTTGATAGATAGATAGATAGAGTTAGATCAGCATGTGGAGTAGTGCGGTCGACAAAAAGGGCCAAAGCTGGCCTAATTGCCCGCTACCCCTGCCACTACTACTACTATAAACATCTTCCAATCTCACGTCAGAGTTAGTAAGAGAAAACCACAAAGAATATATTGAAACTTGGTCTTCGGATGCAGGAATGAGAAAGGTTTAATTGTATTGCCGAAACTGGCGGTATAGATCTTTTCACGGTTTTTGCGGTTACGTCACAATTCCATACGAAATAAGTAAACAGGCTAAGTAATTGTACCATGTGAGTAGCTTGACTTTCCTAAAGGTATTTGCACATTGCGCAAGTTGATCCCTAACGCAGCTGCTACTCGCTCTTGCACACACACATACACACACCATGAGTTGGGTAATTTTCACTCACTTTCTGAAGATACTTTTTATACAGGCTGTCGACATTGTCAGGCACTACTGTGTTTTATATCGAAGACCAACATGAGAAAGTGCAAGTCACACGCTCATGATAAGCAAATTGTCATACTGACAGTGACAAACATCATGTGGATGACTCATACAATGATGAGAAAAATTTCAAAGCGGTGAAAGAGAACGAAAAAACGTATGTGTTTGAGTTTACATAAAGAAATACCCGCGCATAGAGGCCGATTGCATGTGTATGTGCGAAAGTGATAGATAAATTAAACTTATCATTAGGGCCGTATCGCCTACAATTGTCTCCTCTTCGATTGTCATAGTGTTTTCTCTCGTTCAGAAATATTTAGATTTTTACTGTTCGGTGTCAGCGTCAGCGCTCTCCTATTGTGACTTTATGTTTTATTTAAGAATTTTAGGAAATTTCAGGCCGATATTTCAGATGATATAAGTCAAAAATATGAAGAACTCGATGTAAGTAGATATTTATAACATAAACTCTAAATGGAGCGCTGACACGGAGCAATAGAAAACTATGGAAATCAAGATGGCCATAAAGCCATAAATTGTAAGACGTATTTATGGCCTCATTGATTTTCATCGTCTTTGCTCTCCTTCAAAAAGACTGGGCTATTTCTAGATTTGTACTGGTCCGTGTCAGTGTCAGCGCTCTCCTATTGTGAAGCTATGTTTTCTTTCTGAACTGTAGGAAATTTCAGGCTGATAAAACAGATGATTGAAAAATCAAAAGCATGAACCATTTGACGTAAATCGATATTTGTGGCATAACCTAAAAATAGAGCGCTGACATGGAACAGTAGAAAACTATGAAAATCACGGAGATCATAAAGGCGTCCTACAATTATTGTAAAACGACTGACGATACGGCCGTAAGGTTCTTCTGTGACCCGCCAAAAACCGTGAAAAGACATATATACCTAACTGCTTACAATAAGCACAAGTACACTTCTTATCTATCTTGCATGAGCAACTGCGCCAAATAGAGCTGTGTGATGGAGACTCCAGTTGTACACAATGTCGGAGAGAAACAAAATCGACTTGTCATCTGTGAGTGCTATGCACCAGATCATAAGAGGCAACATTTTTTTGGGAGACCTAGACTAGAAACCGGAACCAGTGGAGTTTATCGATATTGATATCGTACCAGCAGGGAAACTGAAGAAATTGATACAGAGTTCAAGACTTAGACTGAGTACCTACTAAAAACAATACTACTACTTCCATTTTGTTCTGTTTATAATAAATATATAAACGAAATCAAGACCATTCTTAATAAAAATTTAGAGCCCATCACTAGCAGCTGTGGTATTAGTTGCCGAAATCTTTACGGGGTTCCGCCAGACGTTATAAGTTTGCACTATAAAACAAGCGAAGTACACAGACAGGCTGCGTCATGGAGTACTTTCGAGGACTCTTGCAAGATTTTTTTATGATTTTATGTTTTTTTTTCTGTTTCAGCTATCAACTCCTACGGTTACAAAAAGAAGGTGGATTCGTGAAAATGAAAAAGAATTACCACATCACACATATATTATTTATTTAGTCAAGAACGCTACATCATGAGATCTGCGTGGAGATGACTATACAGTTTTATATATATTTTATACGTGTTACGTTTTGAACAGTAATTTCTTGAAATGTTTGTTTCACATGTTTTTACTTTTTAGCTCAGATATTATTGTGATAGAATACATCATATAGTTAATTATCTCTTGTAGCAGGTTACATAACCTGTTGTTCTTTGTTGCCAATAAAACATATATATTTTTGTCGTAACTTTATTTGTTTATTTCTTATATTAGCTCTCCGATCAAAGCCTTACATTCTATCTCCGACTTTGTTTCCATGAATATATATATATATATAATATGACTCGGGCCATTCTTCATAACCTAGACCAGTGGTCGCCAACCCGTCGATCGCGAGCTACCGCTCGCAAAGGCAGTTCTGGTGGCTCACAACATATTTTAAAAAGGTGTAAAAATCATATAAGCTTCTGTAAATTTTGTAAATTCTCATAATAAACACAAGCAGCGGCAACACTGCGGTGAGCGATCTGTTCGAGAACGATCTCGATTACTTTGAACAGAATAAATATGCAAGGCGTGGCGACATTGCGCTCAGTTTAAAACTGAACGGCACAAAGTCTAGCAGTTGGGTTAGAGTTGGCATGCAATTAAAAACATGAGCAGTAGTAAAAAGATGAAGACATACCATTTCCATTCGCTGTTTCCGTTGCTAAAAAAGGGAATATCGAGAAGCCCTATAAAACGGTACATTTAAATTTGTAAAAATCATTCCCATTACGTTCTGCAACCAGAACGGAAAAACCGAAACAATTAGAAAATCTGTTAATTGGACAACAGACAATGTTTTTAATTACACAAAAGAAGAAACCTGATGAAGAGGGGGAAATGATCAAACAGACGCCTTTAGAAGCTGCAGATTCATAACTTGCAACTTTAGAAATAAAGACGAAATAGTGTCTGCTATAAAATTTATGCAGCTTTCTGCTACAGTGATGAGACGAGTAGAAGTAATAAGCAATGATATAGTTTTACAGTTAAGAACTGACTTCGATAATTGTGCTTATTTTTCACTCCAGCTGGATGAATCCACAGATGTAGTTGCCACCTCTCAGATGGCCGTGTTCGTCAAAATGGTTTTTAGTGATTTTATGATTAAAGAAGACCTTTTGAAGTTTATTCCACTAAAAGAACTGACTACTGGGCAGGACTTGTTTTCTTCTTTTAAAAATATTATTTCTTCTGAGAAAATTCCAATATCGAAAATGGCTTGATAACCGATGGCGCCCCAGCTATGGCGGGTGCCGAAACGTTTTAATGATATCATATTCGCAATAGTTCAATTTTTCAAACAACGTGATGAACCGACTAAGGAACTGGAAAATTCAGTCTGGCTTAGAGATTTTGGTTTTCTTGTGGATATTTTTTTCTGATATAAAAGCGTTTATCAAACAGCTTGAGTTTTGGGAACAAAACTTAGTCGATGATGATACCAGGCATTTTCCTGTTCTTTCAGAAAAGATTTCTCACTGTCCATTAGAACTATATGACAGTAAATATCATGTAGAAACAGTCTCTAACTTGAAGTATAACTTCAATAATCGTTTCAAGGATTTCAACGAAATTGCTATAGTGGTGCAATTTGTTGTTTCACCCTTCATGGAAATTGATATCCAACAGTTTGCACTTTCTGTTACGCAGAATTATAGCGAAGACATCACTGTGACAGAAACGGAAGAGATTGCGTTTTTGCGTTTCAAAATGAGTTAGCTTTAAAATCATTAGTTTCAAATACAGAATGTATCTGGCCTTCAGTAAGTAAAGATAAATATTCAGTTTTATGTCGTGTTCCCTTGAAAGTGAAATTGTTATTTAGTTCAACCTATTTGTGTGTATCTTCTATTTCAAATGTGAAGCTTATTAAAAACAAATACCGTAATCGAGTTACAGATGAACATTTGGATAATTATATCCGAATGGCGGTATCAAAGTATACTCCAAACATTAAAAAATGGTCAGTGAGTCTGAGTGTCAAGCTTCTCATTGAACACGCATTTTTGAGCTGGACATGTTCTTGTTGAAAATAGTGCGTTATTTTTTTACTATTAGGTACCTTTATTAAATCGTATGTGACATGCCATTGTAGCTGACGAAAAATTTTGTTTATTTTTCAAACACCTACGGTTGATAGGAATGGATGTAGTTATGTAGTATGTATTAGTTATTAGTTTATTTAAGTTTATTAGTGTGTATTAGTATTAGTTTTGATTCTATATTTATTTACTCATTTTGCTTGTTTTCTTTGTACATTGAGTGAATAAATACTATTAGTATTATAATTATTATTATTATTATTATTAGTATTATTATTATTATTATTATTAGTAAATAAACACATGTATGTCGCATACAACTGTGTATAATTTCGTTTAAATTGGCTTACATTACTTACGACTAGGTCACTGAAAAGGTTGGCGACCACTGGCCTAGACAGATGTACCTCCTGTATAGAGGTATTGTGGTGACAATATAGGAAACCCTATGCCAACAGAATTTCTTCTATTGATCAATAATTCTGGATTACGCCTTAGAGGAGGGGTAAGTAGATTCCTTGTCTAAGTATTCATCAGAGGAGTAACAGTACTGAGGTATGATCCACCCCAACTACTGAAGGTTATATGACCCAGAGGAGCTTCCCCATACCCGAGCAAAATAAGGTCCACACTTGCCCAGAATGGGTTCTTGCTTTGATAGGAGAGCCGGGTATTGGCAAAGCAAGACCTTAACTGGCTTATCTTTCCTGTTTGCATCTTCTACCCAAGAATGTATCACTTCAGTACCGGGAAAATGTTTTCTAAGCTAACAATGTTCGGTTACAATACCAGTAGCAAATCGAAGTTGTTTTTATAGACTTTACTTTATCGTTAGAATAGTTGAAACGGTCTCTGGGAAGGAATTCATGCAACAGTTATATTGTTCGTGGTTGAAAACACTCACCATTGTCATATGGCGATCTAGTACTCTTCTGGCTGTGAGTATGAAACACTTGAGAGCAAGTACTGCTTTTCTGCTATCCATAGCGATCCATTAGTGCTCATGTGAAGAAGAATTGGGGTCTATGATGAGACAATTTTTCTATTCTCAATGATCTTAGATCTTTTAATAGGTATCAACATACTCTTTTGAATTCGTTTACGGCATTCTTGGTATCCTGTATTATGCTCTACCTACTGAAACGTTCCTGTCTTAGCATTTTTTGCTAGGCAACCCGATAGCTCGGTGCCTACAAGCCTATGCAACTTCTTAGTAGTACTTAGATTATAGAGACGTTTAACTGTTTAAAGTATACCTGTATGCTTGGTGTCCAAATGATATCTAAAATTCTTCGCAAATGTCATCCAAATAAAATAGAAGCGAGAATACCTCAATCCTTAATCAAGACAATAAAGATTAACAAAATGCACATATCTTTATTTACACTTAACAGACTCTGTATGTCACGTGAAAAAAGCAAAAATACGCATCAATTAGACACGATTCTTAGTATGCAGCCTTGTCGCGAAACGGGTCAATGTTCCTTGCAAAGCAGGCGTTGTCAGTGATCAGCTTTCTCTTTGTCTGGTGTCTGGTAGCCATATGTATTGAATTCTGCAACAAATATGATGCGGTTGAACTTGACCTGTGAATCAACTAACAAGCTATGGTCTTGGCAGGCTAAAGACACCGCAGAAGCCTTAATGAGACCGGCTTTCGGCAATTTATTCTTAACTTCAGTTTATTATAAATCTCAATAGGTAAAACAAAATTGACCATGTGTCCAAAGTTTTTCCATCAGTAGTTTCTGAGATACAGAGTGTCCAAGTCCAGGAGCCCCAAGCTTGCATGGTTGGAGTATGGCAGACTTTTTTGAAAATCACTCAAGATTATCCCCTTTATCCCCTAATATTGAGGATAGTCCAAGTCATAATAGTTATCGGAAAAATATAAAAAATCCAAGTCCAGTACTTTTCAAATTATAGGATTTAAAAACATTCGCCATGTCCATGTATACCGTACTGGAATACGTCAACATGCGCCTCATTTATGGGGAATTTAGATGCAATGCAAGTGCTGCAGCTAGGCTTTATCGAGAGAAGTACCCAATGCTTACTCTTACAGGGACGTTTCCCAAATCAAGCAGATGGTAGAGGCAGAATTTACCTTTTCTTGCGAGGACGTCGTACTACAAGCAGTCGAAGAAGACTCGAGTGCCCAAAAGTACAAAAGCCCATCGCATCGTGCGAAAAGACGAGCTCCACCCGTACCACGTATAGCGAGAACAATCTCTACAACTCCGATCTTCCAAGAGTTGAGTTTTGTCAAACAATATTACAGACACACCTGGAAGATCTGCGATTTTTAGAGAAGATTTTATGGACTGATGAGTCGGCATTAAAAAAAGATGGTTACATGAATAAGGCAAGATAAATCACAGTATCGTTTTATAGTAAAGATGTGGACCGGGATTCTAAGTTATTGTACCCTTTGAGCTCCCAGAGTTTTTGAATGGCGAAATATACTTAGACTTTTTACAAAATCATTTACCAAATTTATTGGAATACGTGCCACTAAGCATTTACAGAGGCATGTGGTACCATCAAGACGACTGCCTGACGCACTATGTCCGTGCAGTTAGAGAATATCTTGATGCGAAATACCCGAGCAGATGGATAGGGCGGTCTGGGTACAATTTTGTGGCCGGCCCGTTCTCCTGACTTAAGTCCACTCGATTTTTTTCACTGGGGAATGGTGAGAAAAAAGTTTACTCAAAACCAATCGAAAATTTAGCTGAGCTAAGGGACAGAATAACAGAGGCAGCTGAATTTGTTAATAACGGAAGATTCGCCCATCTGATAAATCATTTTTAAGAAGATGTCAAGTTTGCATTGCTGCTAAAGGGCACTTTGAACATTTATTGTGAATTTAATAAATACATTTACGATTCAATAAATGTGGCGTTACTGTCTTTTGCTGTCACTACGTATAATGACACTACCCTTCAATCCGTCTAAGCAAAAAATTGAAATTCGTAATAATGGGAACTAAAAGAAACACCACCCAGACTTTTTTATATTTTTCTGATAACTATTATGACTTGGCTAATCGCCCGTTTTCTGCTTGACGGCGACATCTGGTACACCCTGTAGATTTATCATATATTTGGATAGATCAACATACTTCTGAGTTATCTCGAGTAGTTGTTGATAAAAAAATTGTCTATCTTGTCTAAAAAAAAGGTATGGCTTCCTGTACCCCAACCTCCTTAATATACGTATACAGTACTGAACTTACCATTTTGAATACTTGCACCTATATAAAAGTATCACCGTTTTTGAGATATTGAATTTTCTCTTGAATTTTAAAAAAACTAACCTTTCCATATGTGGTCTTTAGCTGCATGTACGAACCATGATAAAATAAGGACTGTTTTCTGATATTGTTTCCTCAACTTTGAATATCTGTGGTGAAACAAAAATGTACTGGGCTATAACTGCATTTATTGAATGAAAGATTGCTCATTGAATTCAGATTTCAGAACGGCGCCACACGTACTATTTGGAATAGAAAAAAGTGATATTTGTAAGTGTCTGACACAAACTACAATGTAATTATTGAATTTAAATTCAAGTTACCGACCAATGACATGCTAAATAGTACAACGATATTATTAACTGCTCCTGATATTATTTTATGATACCTACTGGAACTCGGACTATAGTCAAAAATAATAAAAAAGGGATACATTCTTATTCCGCGCTACTTATTGCCCCAGTTGATAGCGTAAAAACATAGCGAAGATCAGTATAAATAGTTATCTGCTTTCTCGCTCTACTGACAAAGGTATGCATCCTAGTAGGTTCCTGATATAATATGGGACCCATATTTGCGTTACGACTTGGACGTTGCAGATTGTGTACACTTTTGTCGCTCTTTTGGATCGGATTGGACTTACTCGATTTTTTTGAATTGAACCGACAAACATTGTGTTGTGAATATGACACAGATTTACGGTGAAGCTTGCGATAATTCCAGAGCAGGTCAAAAGCTCTACGCAGAGCGCTACCCCAATCGCCGGCATCGGTGTCATGAAGTTTTTACCCGGACCCATACAGCGATATCTGAAGGTATGTAATGTTTACATGTTTCTTGTTGATAATAAAGAAAAATTACTAAAAGTACCCCTCATGCAAACTCTATCGTGTTTTAACTTTGACTTTTAATTTTCCTCAGGTCGCATACCTGGAAGGCGTGGCGGCGAGACAGGACGTCCTGAAACGGTAGATGTTGAGCTGTACTAGAGAAAGTGGAGATCCATCGACTTCAGTCAGAATGATAGCAAGGTGGACTGGAAAACCAAAATCTACAGTTCACAAAGTTTTGAAAGACCGTCAGTTTCATCCCTACCACATTTAACGTGTTCAGGCTTTAGAAGAGAGGGATTACCCGGCGAGGGTTAGCTTTTGCAGAGAAATGTTACGAAGGCATGAATTGGACCCCAACTTTTTTAAGATAAAATAATTTGGAGTGATGAATCGACTTGCAAGCGTGATGGTTATGTTAATTTACATAACCTTCACAGTTGGCAGGCAGTAAATCCTCACGAAGTGAGAGCAGATCGGTCGCAGTACCAGTGCAAAATAAATTCATGGAGCGGGATTCTTAATGGTCAGATATAGGGACCTGTGGAACTGCCACCAACGCTCACCTCAGAAAATTATTTAGGGTTCCTGCAGGAACAGCTTCCAATTCTTTTAGAAGATATACCCTTGAATCTGTGGCGTACACTATGGCTACAACATGACGGCTGCCCTGCTCACTACGGGCGTCAAAAGAGAGCCCATTTAGACGAGACTTACCCCCACCGGTGGATTGTACGATCGGGGCCAATCTCGTGGCCTGCTCGATCACCAGACCTGAATCGATTAGATTTCTTCTACTGGGGCTGTCTTAAGGACAACATTTATTCAAAACCAGTTCAAAACGAAGAAAATTTGCGGGAAAAAATACATCAAGCTGCTGCTGAGATAGCCCAATTGAATCTGAGAACTCTAAAAGCGTCTTTTCCTACGAGATGCCGAGCTTGTATTAGAGTAGGAGGTCGCCAATTTGATCATATTTTGTCAATAAATGAAAACATTTATTCCACAAACAATGTGTGGTTTATTTCACGCTAACCCGTCCTTTAATTAAAATAATTCTTTTGTATTGTTACTGACTCGAGTACGAATTTCAGTAAGTTTCATAAAATCATATCAGGAGCAGGTATTAATAATGTAGGTTTTTACTTTTAGCATGTTACTGATCGGTAACCAGTGCAACTGGAATTTAAATCCAATAATTACGTCAGTCACTTACAAAAGCAGCTATAACTTTTTTCTATTCCAAATAGTACGTGTGGTGCCTTTCTGAAATCTGTATTCAATGAGCAATATTTTTATTCAATACAATGCAGTTATAGCCCAGTACATTTTTGTTTCACCACAGATGGTCAAAGTTGAGCAAAAAAAATATCAGAACGTTATAATTCCCAAAATAGTCCTTATTTGATCATGGTTCCTTAATATCTTTTAACTACATTGCATTTGTATATGATAAAGCAACTATCTAGAAGTATTTTATAGAAAAAATGAACAAAGAATAACCTTATTTGTATATACAGCTGAAGAACACAGATGAAAAGGTTCGTTTTTGCAAATTTAAGAAAAAATTCAATATCTCAAAAACGGTGACACTTTTATATAGGTAAGTTTTTGTTATTTGGGAGGTCAGTCCCAAGCGTACCTTCTCCTTAAGTTTGTTGTGGTACTTATTAAATTGTATTGCGCATTTAGATAACAAAAAAAAAGTTTTGCACCTTGCAAAGTATTTCCTGAGACAAAAGAAAAACAGAATATTCCCAAAATCGTTTTATTTTATCCTTACTTTTTGAAGGTGAGATTTCAAAGTAGATTGCAGATTAACATTACCACATTCCCTCCTCTACAAGGTGGAGTCATTAGAATTTCAATATGACGTCGATCATCAACTTTATTGCTTCCCGCGCCTACTGACGTGAAAGTGTTTTAAACGCAACATTTCTAAATTGACATGTACATCACGAAAAACCATGTCACTCATTTCCGTCGGTCTGTCTGTCCCTAACCCTTGGCCCGCACGGGTATCACATGTCTTGAAAAGTGACATTATGCCGATTTTTTTTACATTATGTTGTTTTTTTTTACAATATGTAGGTTTTTCTACAAGATGTTAACTAAGCACTTCGTTGTACGTGTTGCCTAAACGTCATGAGGCTTGTTATCAATCTGTGACTCTGATGTGATATAAAATCTGCTTCTGAGATGGCATTACTGAAGATCTAAGCTGTAAGTTGTTTGTGTTGATGATAATTACACTCGGTTCTTATCTCAGATACACTTAATTGAGATTCAAAGCTAGAAATTAGTTGCGAATCCACTTTTTCTTATTCATTCTGGAAATTACATAATATACAAATTTAATGAATTTAAAAAATGAGAGAGATAAGAAATAATTATATTCACTGTACACTTACAAGCCATATACATGCTAACAGTAATTGCACACATCTTATAGGTTTTTTTGACGTTTTGTAGGTTTTTACATGATACCTGTGCCGGATATACTCTAAATTGCGAAACTTTCTAAGTGGCATTTTCTTAGTTATTTGAACTTACCTAATAATGACTTAGTCCCTAATATCCTGACCCATCAAATTCTCCTTGATTCAAAGAAGATACAAAAAGGTTATGAAGAGAAATAAAATACATTTGCTTCAAAATCATCCACAGTTCGAATAGAGTTGTAGTTTTTTTATAAGTTTACGTACCTTGAAATTCTTTTTCATAAAAGAAAAGCATATCGGCAAAGAGGCTACCTGGGAATTCTGGTATATCAGCCGTTCCACCGTAATACTCTGTCAAAGCCTCAGCTCCGACTTTTTCAATTAAAGTCTTTCTGTTGTCGCCATGAAAATACAACTGTAAAATAATAAATGGCATTTAAAAAGTCATGCCTAACAGGTATTACAATATAGACATTATATTGACCAAAAATAAGGTAGTAACTGAATCTGCATGAGTCGATGCTCCATACCTTAGTCTGCCATTGACTAAGACAGCACCAGCAGACGTTCAAGGATTCTAAATTAAAAAGAGACTACAATTATAAAAAGTTTATGATTACTGGGAGCGAAAATGATTGGCTAGAATACACAAGATCAAGAAACCAATCTGTAGCAGTTCTACGAGATGAAAAGAAAAAATATAACAATGCCAAAATTGATCAGAGTAAAAATAATAGCAAACATATGTGGAAAACGTTGAAAAACGTTGCTTCTATTAGAAAAAGTAAATTATCTAAAATGAAATTTGGCGATGGGGTAATAGCAAATGAAGAAATAATAGCAGATCGAATGAATACCTATTTCATAGAAAGTGTCAACGATATTGTAAAATCAATTATTGACCAATGCCCCATTAGCTCAGATTAAAATGCATCATTCAGTGAGTTTAGAACAATAAACATTAATCGTATCAAGAAGATTATATCAAAAATTAAATCAAATCAAAATAGGAGTGAGATTTTGTCTAAAAGTGTGCTTAATGAATGTTTTGGTATTATTGGAGCAAGAATATTAATACTGATAAATTACTGTTTAAAAGATGGCGAATTTCCAACAAAACTGAAGTGTTCTACCATAACTCTTGTTTCTAAAGTTAATAATTCTGAGTTGTACCCCGATATGCGGCCAATAAATGTTCTACCAGATGTTGAAAAAGTTTTTGAAGAAATTATTTACGAGCGGATCATCGAATTTATTGAGGGAAATAATATTTTAACCAAATTTCATCCTCGATTCGGGACGAAACACTCAACTGAAACAGCAACACAAATGGTTTTAGAGGACTGGAGGAGATGTATGGATAATCGGAAACATACAGTGTTTTTGGACTTCAAAAGGGCGTTTGAAACTATCGACAGGGATAAATTACTTACAAAATTGCATCACTACGAATTCAAAGGATCTGTATCCAAAATTCTACATTAATGACATTTGCAATATTTTAGATTATTGTAACCTTCAGATATTTGCAGAGGATACATTAATATACATATCAGTTGAAAACATAGACATTGCTTTAAAAATGATAAATTCTGACTTGGAAAAATCGTAAATTGGTTAAATGTAAATAAACTAAAATTGAATACTTCTAAAACAAAATGTACTAATAGAGAAATACCTAAATGAAAATACTATCACAGTTAGGATAAATGGAGAAATAATTGAAAATGTTGAATCATCTAAATATTTAGGTATATGTATATTCATAGTAAACTAAAGTTTGAGGATCATTATCAATACATTATTTCAAAAATTGCCAATAAAACAAATTCCAAGAAAATAGTTTATAATACAATCATTCTACGAATTTACTATATTGTTCAGCTATCTTGTTCACTGCCAATGAAGCTGTATTCTCAAAATTCAAAAAGTCTTGCAAATTAAAGCTATGAGAATAATATTGAATAAAAATAAGTACACCAAAATAAAATCTATGTTACAAGAATTGCAGTGGTTAAATATAAAAAATTTCATATCATATTTGGTTCTTATTTTTATATTTAAAATAAAAAATCATCTTTTGCCAGAACATTTAGAACACTACATAGAATTGAATAATCATTACCACAATTATTATACAAGAGGAAATATAGATTTTCATTTACAGAATTGCAATAGTAATATAACTAGCAAATCAATATTTCAGAAAGGATTACTTGAATTCAATAAACTAAATAATGATATAAAGTCTACTTGTAATTTAAAGATATTTATAAGAAAATTAAAGGAATATTTCATGGACAATAAAATTCTTAGAGATGCAAATTTTGTTATTTTTTCTGAATGTCTGTATGTTATGTAATTGTTTAGTTTTTTAGAAGAATGTAATTGTGCAATCATGCTAAATAAATCTTAAACAAACAAACAAACAAGCTGATGAGTTGGCTGATAGATATAAATGTGATTCCCGTGTTTCAATGCATTTATCAAAGAATAGACCAAGTTTTATTTGCCCGTTCGAGGCTCCCATCACAGTTTTGAAAGGTCATTAAGATGGTGGTGACGGAGTATTTGATATTGGATAATTTAAGTTTTTTTATGGGTTTAGATATAAGTAGCTACTAAAAAAATGGTGTGTTAACGAAGTCAAAAACTGTGATAATTTTTTATCAATCTCTGTGTTATTTGATGTAATGAAGATCAGCGTAAACCACCAAATTTTTCCTCGAAGAGATTATGTTTTATGTCATTGTCATATACGTATATAGGGTGGGCCATGAATTAGTTAACATTTGAAAAAATCGTATGAAAAAAACATTTCACATATTTTAAAAATTGTTTATTCACAAGAAAGCTAATTAGTTGGAATTCATTTCTTGAAAATTATATCATCTAAATGACCACCGTTACGATCTTTGCACTCGTGTACCGAAGTTTTCGAATACTCGTCGGCATAAAGACCGCCGACATCTCTTCGTTGATGTTTTCATTTAGTTGGCGGAGTGTAGTTGGTTTAGTGATGTAGACACGACTCTTCAAATAACCCCATAAACAAAAGTCTGATGGGGATAGATCTGGACTTCTGGGTGGCCATGGGATGTCGCCTTGTCTGGAAATGAGCTTTTCCGGAAACATTTCTTTGACCACCGGCAGGGACTCGTTGGACGTGTGACACGTGGCTCCATCTTGTTGAAACCATGTGTTACGATTATAGCTAGAAAATTGCAGTAGCATCGGTGCCAAGAACTCCCGTAACATTTTCACATACTCAGCAGACTTAACAGTAACAGAATGGCCGCGAGAATCTTCAAAGAAATAGGGGCCAATGATTCCTTTTGCTGAAATTGCAGCCCATACAGTTACTTTAGAAGAGTAAAGTGGCTTCTCGTGTTTAGCTTTGGGATTTTCGCTGCTCCAGTACCTACAATTCTGTTTATTCACATGTTCGTTGAGGTGGAAATGGGCTTCGTTAGAAAATAAGAGCTTGTCAAAATTACTGAATCGAGCTAACATCGTTTCGGCATACGACTTGCGCAAATTTAAATCATTAGGTTTTAGCTCTTGCACTATCTGGATCTTATATGGATGTAATTTCAAATCTAATCTCAAAATACGGCGTAATGATGTGCGGGATAATCCTAATTCAGTCGAACGTTTGCGCGTCGATAAATCTGGATCACGTTGAACAGGAGCGGAAACTTGCTGCACGTTCTCTTCGCTCCGAGCAGTCCGTTGGCCGCCGGTTTGCTTCACATTCAGTGTAGATCCCGTCTCTTCAAACTCCTTCACCCATTTCTTTATCAAAGGAGCACTCGGACACTGACTTAAGTCGTGAAGCGATCCATTGCGACTTAATTTTCGGGAAACGAGCTAGCGCGGCAACTGTTTGCGTGGTGTATTAGATTTAAATGTCAACGAATGCTTGGTCCACCCTGTAGTGTGAAACTTATGGGACCTGAGATAGATGCCTGACGAACGTCCATTTCTACTTCTAAGCAAGCAGACTTCACATGATTGACATAATGTTTTCCAGTATGTTTTATCGATACAAATTGGCATCGGCTACTTAGTAATCTCAGTCAAACAGTATTCTGGTATTTCCCTTTGCAACTGATCATTTTCCTTTTCTTTGCTATTTTCTTCATTTCAAACTTCTTCTCTTCCCTCCTTGATTGAGTATCTCGAGATAAAAGGTGTCGTAGGCCGTACCAATAAATTCTGCCGTACGCTTAAGATCTTCAGATCAGAACTGCAGTTCTTGGCAACAGAACGGGTCAAACGGTAACAATTTTGCCTTTACTTTTGTAGAAATTTAGTGTTTAAAATATTTCGGATAGTCGCTTTTTTCATTTCGCCTTTCATCAAAATAATATATTCGAGCTTTGATAAAATTAGGCTCGAATACCTAACAAAATTTGTTAGGATATTTAATATTTAATATCGTTATCAAACAAATAACGGTACTTACACACTTCTTAATCTTTTCTCCCAAAAATGGCTTGAACATTTTGTATAACACATCAAAAATGAATGACTGGTTTATAACGTGTATGCCTTTCAATCGAGTTGGTGCACAATCCTGAAAAAAAATATTGTTTATGTAGGATATTAGCTTAACAATATATTGACACTCAGGTCATTACAAACTATATCACGATTATGCAACGTACAAAGTTAAATGTTTTATACAAAAAACTACACTGAAAAATCATCCTGAGAACGAATAATTATAACTATACACATGATGATGTGAATAAACGCCATAACGTGTATTTGGGCTACCTTTTAGTCAAGTCAAATCTCCCCGAAGTAATTGTCGGGTTTTATTGGGGTATTTAAAACATGGACGCATAAAATGGGTACACCATTGTATAAAAGTATATCGTTCTTCATTCTGAGTCTTTAAAATTAAAAGCAATATCGGAAGTATGTCTTTCAAACTGTTTCTTAAAAATCAACCCAATGGTATCGAAATCACCGAGATCGGGTTCAGGAATCGGACCGCCAGAATCGATAATCGATTCCTATTACGGTGTCACTCCTTTGGTCTAATCATATTAGCAAATTTCTCCGAAATAATTGTAGAGTCTGGTTTTATTGATGCAAGTTGTTCAAGGGGGTATTTAAAACATAAAACGGGTACACCAATTTTTGTGGGAAAACTTTTTATTCGACAACAAAGAATGCGAAAATGTGTTTCCTGGGATTCAATTGAGAGTGTTAGCAGGAACAAAAAAACTCTTCGAATAAGATTTTTAGGTATTTATAATACCTACAAATTGAGACCACACGTAAAATAATCCGACTAATAGTAAAAAAGGCCGAAAACCGTGGCAAAATGCAGGTTTCGGCACTTGTTGCTAATGCGACGATAATTCCACGCAGCTACTTGAAATTTTTCACATCCGTAGGCTTCATACTTCTCAATAACCCCAACAAAATTGGAGTCGATTGGTCGATTAGTTTTAGAGAATTTCTAGTTGTTCATCCCAAAACACCTGTCTTCCGGCCATCACTACTAGCTTACTGAGCAATAGACAGGGTTCCTTCAAAGGGCATTTAATAGCAAAATACACGAATCTAGCTTGCCGACGTGAATCACAAACCATTCCGAAGGATAATTTTTATTTTTATGCGAAAAACGAAGGGTTGCGTTTTTTTCTTATAACAAATTCAAACATTTTAGCTTTGTCCCAACCTTTAGTGCTAGTACCGTACCAGAACAGTTCGATTATCGTGAGGTACCCTGTTACACGCATGCGCAGCCTGACGTGGTTCTAGTATCGTTTCTGGACTGTAACAGGTGTTGGAACGGATTCGGAATCATTTTGTGCCTCGAAAGGATAGCCAGTGTTGCCTGGTCTACCAATTTTTCGGCATAGCTATGAAGAGAAAATAAACATGTACTAAGTCTAAAATTAAAAGAGCTTCATGTGAATCATTGGTTTTATATCTGTGGTACCTTACTCTGATATCTTATATTACAGTTGCCTGGACTGTGATAAAGATGCGTTTGCAATATGTTCAAAATCCCTGATGTAGATTTGTTTATGGACTAAAAAATATGATCATATATAAGTAACGATGAAATAAAACTGGTTGGCTGACTATGGAAAGAAAACTGTACTCAGTATGTCTATCTTACATTTGTATATGAATTAGTAACGACTTTCACCCTACCATATTCATTTGAAAACGTTACACTTTCTAAAGTTAATGCAAAGAGATATAACCTGAGCAGATCTCGTCACCATTCATCCATTAAACACTATTTCAGAGAAGATATCTTTTTCTTGAGGATACTGAGTATGACATTTTCCTGAATTCTTGTGTAATGTACATTTTAAATATACAAATAGCCTTTGGCTAAATTTCGCCCTTCATAAAGCCGGTATATTGCTTTTATTATTGTATGAGGCCGCAAATACATTCACTCCAACAAACCGCAGAACTGGTATTTCTCGATCTGGCAACATTGCTGTTAGCTGTCAGAATCATCTAACCTAACCGCCATTTGTCGTTTGTTTTGGTTTATAGCTCTTCTGCGCATGTCAGTTCCTTTAGTTCTCGCTTCAGTGCATGAACCGATATCACCTTTAGAAAATCGTCCCAAATCGATCCCAAAACGGGTCGGAACACAATGCAGAACCGTTCTGTTACTGTGACGGACAAGGCTGGAACACTTTTTTCTAAATGCGCAGGCGCGTCACCGTTCCAGCACGGTTCTACGACGGGTTGGGACAAAGCCGGATGTGTCTACGTTGCGAAGAAAACAATTTTTTTAACATTTCTCCATATCTACTCTTGTGTATACATAATAAGAGTTCAAAATGTTGGAAAATAAACTCGAGAAAACGAAAAAACAGTAGACAACAGACAGTAGACCAATAGTAGCGAACTGACAATCTTAAAAATTAGCCAAAAAGCTCGTTATTAGTCCCTAGTATATTATTTAAGGATTCAGCATTGTATCTTGCGTAGTTTTCAAGATTATTGTAATTGTTTATAACATATTTGATATGCCTCCAACGTTCGCTTAAAATTTGTCAGTGTTTAGTAAAGTGGTATAAGGATCCAGTAAGCCAAGAGGCCTAAGGTACGTTTATACTAGAGATTTTATTCCTTACATTTCTCTCGGCAATAAAATATATCAAATGTAAACCTTGGTGATAGAAGCTAACCGATATTTATTCAAATAGCTGAGAGAAAATGATCGAGCCAAAATGTCGTAAATGTAAACAACGCTGAGACAAGTCTCAACTAGTTTCTGATAGATCTCGCAGGAGTTGGCCGGCCGTCTACTTTTATCAATCTCTCGGGATACTTGTGCTGTTTATCTTACGTTGTTAGAGTGTTTACAATAGGTAAAATGTCGGATAATAAAAAAGAATGGACACGTGCAGATGTGACCGATTTAATTGCTTGCTATGAATAACACCCTTGTTTGTGGAATGTACTTTCTAATGAATATAAAAATAAAATAATAAAATCCTATGCCTTTAAAAAATTCAGTGAAAAATTCGGGACCAGTGTGGAAGAAATTACTAGAAAAATCCATAACCTCCGGAACCAATTTAATACGGAATTAAAGAAAATTAATTCTAAAAAATCAGGACAAGGAAGTGATGACAATTATGAAACAAAATGGCCTTATTTCAAAAATTTATTGTTTATAAAAACTAGTTTACAGACACGACAAACAACTGGAAATATGGTAAGTACATATGTTATTTTCTGCAAATATGTACTACTCTGGGCTACTTACAGATTTTTCTCCTTTTTTACATACATTTGTACTGCCAAGGAACTTCTCCGTCTGGTGAATTAAAATAATCTCTAAACTCATCTCGAATTTCCTTCGCAGTATTACAGTAATTATTAGATCCCTGTTGGGGAAGGGGTAGCAAATTATTATCTGGTCCCTCAATTCTCCAACTACCGGGTACAATTTCACCATTACCATCTTCTCTGTCAAATACATTATCTGTTGCATAAAATTTTCTTGAAGATTTTTTTTCATCAAAAAATTATGCAACGTACATACAGCCAATATTACAGAATCCGTTCTTTCGGACTTAAGAAGGGTAGGCTTTCGTAAAACACGGAAAACGCTTGATACTATGCCGAAAACATTTTCCACCATTCGGCGTGCCTTCGAAAGCCTATAATTATAAATTCTTGCGGAGCCTGGTATATTTGTTGTACTATAAGGTTTCATGATATATTCTTGAAGTGGAAAAGCGTCATCTGCGACGACTATGTGGGGTACCGCTAGTCGTCATCCAGGCAATATTGGATTATACCAGGCATAGCACTAGCGGCAAAAACGCCCCCATCGGAAATACGTCCGTTGCATCCAATATCGACAAGTAAAAATTTGTAATTGGCGCCTACCAATGCCAAAAGTACCACGCTGTGAAACACTTTGTAATTAAAAAAATAACTCCCTGAATTTGGAGCCGCTTGTATGGTGACGTGTTTACCGTCTAATGCACCTGTACAGTGTGCAAAATTCCACTTTTTTTCAAAATCATAACTTATCCTTAACCATTCTTCATTTGTTGTTGGCATCTGTAATATAAAATAGAATAGCATTAAAAGACAATTCCTTCTAGAGTAAATTTAATTATTATAATGCAAACTTTATTTCTATTTTTAGGAACAATGTGATGAAGGGGAAAAAGCTCTCTCAGCAGCTTTGGAGAATATAAATAAAGAAAGCACGTCTGACTCCATCAAAGAAAAAACCCAAGAAACCAGTAAGCCGGTGAAAAAGAAAGAGAAGATAATAGACGATTAGGAGGAATTACTTGCGAAAGCACGAAGCGCACTTTCGAATGATGAGTAGGTATATCTTCGATTCGTTTATTGCTGGTGAACTTAGGGCATTGCGTCACGATTTTTTGAAAAGAACATTAAAGAGAGGGATTCAGAAACTCGCTTTGGAAATTGCAGAGGAGGATGAAGAAATGAGTTCCTTGGTACAATTTTCAAATACCCCATCGACTTCCACTACATCAACTTTTGACTACAATCCTCCATCCAATTTAAGTCAGAGCTCTGTGTATACTGTGCCAACTGAGTATACTGATCTCTAGTTCAGATCAATAATAATTTATTCTAGTAAGCAATTAATGTAGAGTCCATTTAGTTTAATAAAGGTTTCTTTAATTTAAAATCACTTACCTTTAAATAATCCTTTAAGTCAATGGCAATGGCTTGACACACTTCATAAACTATACCCGATAGTGCAGACTTTGATATGCGGAATAGACAGCTCAAACTAATTTAGCTGTCACCTAAAATTTATTGTTTTTTTACCTCTGCTATCACATAAAAATAAAACTTTCATACCTGTGGCTAAATATCTTAAGCTGACAAGCACCATTTCATTAACTGAAATTGCTTCTCTCATTTTGGTCAATGGCCCCACCAAATTTATTAAATTATCGATATATGTTGACGACATTCTCGCGAAATTTTGTAATTGTATCGGATCTTCAACTTTTAGCTCATTAATTAACTGAGTGTAAGCCCCTGCAGTACTTCTCAATAACCAGTTCTCCATCCACGCTTTCTTTTCCCTTCTTTTTTTATCGTCCAATAATAAAATTATTATTGCAGCAGCCTGACGTTTACTACTAGACGGACAGAAAAAGTGTCGAGAGATCTTAATTCTCTATGTGTCTAAACAGAACAGCAATTTATATCAGAATTTCCTCTCAACTAGAGGTATCAGGTATTTTATTGCGTGACACTTATGTCGTAGTGAAAACTTGCAAGGAAATTTATTTCTCGATACCTGAGATATCTATAATCATATAAATCTCTAGTATAAACGTACCTTTAGCGTAAAGGTAAGGGTTGAGGATTGCAGAACCGCAGGACGGAGGTTCGAATCCTCCTTTTTTTTTACTTGGAGAAATAATTGCTTTTTCACATTATGTGTACTTTTATTGCAATCAAAAAGTTTTTCGCACGCCATAGACAATGTAAGCTTGCAATACAGAAACTAAACATGTTCACTGATTCTATACAGCACAAGAATATCCATTAACGTCTCAAATGGTGTAACTTCAGCTTTACTTTACATCATATCACCATATTTTTCAATATGTAGTTCAAGTCGAGAGTTTCGTATATTTGTAATACATACCTGTACCCAATCTAATATTAGCTTAGCCAGTTGAGGTGAAAATTGGTAGATATGAACTAAAGATAAACCAGCCATATCCAGAATAACGTGGACACCACCAAGTTGTGTTTTTGCTTCCAGCATGGCAATTTCTATTGCTACCATTACAGCTCTAAACATATCTTCTAACTTGACTTCTTTTGGATTCCATTTTGCTGAAAAAATAAGTTTCAAGTTAGAATGGCTCTCAAAATACTGAAAATTATAACACTACTCCATGACACAGATATATATTTATCAGCAATAGGAGCACAAAGTTTTTCCTAAAGCTCAGCTCAGCTTCCAATCTGGCCTACACATAGATCTAACAATATCGTACAGACAATTTTGTAACCCTATACAGAGCTATTTTAAGGAACATTTTCCTATATACAGGATGATTCACAAGTCGTGACCAAAAATATCATTCACAGGGCCGCATTTTAGGGGGGGTCTTCTATGTAACATTTTTTTCCTCGAGGGCTTCATTAAAAAGATACGGGGTGTTTAAGTTTTAATATATTCAAAACCGTCAACTAGAATTAACTAAAATTTGATATGTGGATTTACCTAAGTATTGTCCACATTCAAGAGTCTTTATTTGAAATTAGCGTGCACCAGTGACGGAGATAGAGGGGATTGGTGGCACTATTTTTCCAAATAGAAATAATACGCCACTGTTTTTTAGATAATCAAAACTTTAATTCAATAAATGTTCTAAAAGACCACCATTCTGACGGATACAAGTGCGGCATCTTTTTAATAAAGAAAAACATATTTCTGCAAAATTTGTTGTGGCTTGAATTTGAAGAAACCGCATTATCTATTCTTTCTTGTAACTGATCAACAGTATTAATTTGTTCAGCATACACTAGTTGCTTAAAAGCGTCCCGTCCCACAAAAAGAAATCCAGGGATTTAAATCAGGAGACCTCGCAGGCCAATGTACGGGTCCGTTTCTGCCAATCAATCGTTGTCTAAAATGATTATTTAACCATGAGGTTATGTCACGACGAACATGCCCCACCACCTTCATGCTGATACCACATTCGTACTGACGTTGCTAACGGAATATAACACATTTTCTATGTAATTCTCTGGAAAAGCTAAGTATGAGTTTGCATTTAAACGTTGTGGCAATACGTGCATAAACAGTTGGCCATTGAAAATGCCGCACCAGACATTTCTAGAAAATCTGTGTTGAAACGAATGGATTCTTACAGGACGGGGATTTTCTAACGACCAAATATGTTCATTATGAGAATTAAAGGTTCCACTCCTCTCACGACAAAACCAAATCAATAATAATAATAATAATAATAATAATAATAATATAAGTTTATTCACGTATAAGGTATTACAGTTTATTGAAAATAAATATGGATATATACGCAAATAAACTGAAATAATCCCACAGAAGAATATAATTCTTGTGCGTGGAAAACATTTTTCATAACAATTTTTGCTTTAAACATAGTTAAATATAGTTAATACATAAATTTAAACACGGCATAACCATGAAGGTAAGTGTAATAATATTATATTCAAATACTAATTTATTTTCATTCTGGTGAGTTTTTCTATTTCATGTCGATTATTATTTAACAAGAATTTGATTATCTCAATTTTGAATCTATTTTTATTTGAAATGGATTTTATATGGCTTGGTAAAAAGTTTTTGTTGTAAATGGTGTTCTTTCAATATTCTCGACTTTACTTCTTGTTTCATATTTGTGGTCTAATGAAATGGGGTTTGTTTTATTTTTGAGTAAATTGATCAAAATATTGTAAAAAAAAAGAGTTGCCTAAGTTCGAGTAGTCTCGCTTCGGAATATAACATATCAGATGGATATAGAATAGGCCGTTTAAAAATCATTTTCATAAACTATTTTTGGATTATTTCTAGAGTCTTAATTTGGTTGGTGAGAGCACCACCCCAAGCTAGTATGGCATAATTTAGGCGCGCATGATATACATCTTCATTTTTTCATGGTCTAGATATTTAGTGAGATACTTGAATTTAAATAATAATCGTCTTAAATTAGTTACTATATGATCAGCATGGAAATTCCACTTTAAATGAAGATCCAAATGAACACCTAAATATTTTGTTTTTTCAGCTGAATGTATTAATGTACTTGTGTTGTCGCATTTAATTTGTAAAGAGGTAAATGACGGTAATTTATTTTTAAGGTTTGTGAACGGCATATACTTGGTTTTCTGAAGAGTGATTGTTAGATATTTGTGTCTAAACCAATCTGAAATTAAAATATTGTGATTTTCAACAGTCTCTGTAAGATTAACCCAGGAATTGTTATTAGAATAAAGTATCGCTGTGTCATCTTCAAAACATATTATTGTACCTTGCGACTTCAAGCTTAGTAGGCAATTGATATATACCGTAAAAGATAAAGGGCCTACAACTGTCCCTTATGGTACACCATCAGTCACAGTTTTTTCTGAACTTATGGAATCATTTATTTGGACATACTGCTTCCTGTGAAACAGGTAGCTTCTCATAAGGTTTTGAGCGTTTCCTCTAATTCCTGCATCGTATAAAGTTTCTAATAGTAGCGAGTGATCCACCGTATCGAGCGCTTTTATGAATTTTTGAAGTCAACAAGGAAACCGCGTCTTGAGTAGATTTATTTTTTTGAAATCCAAATTGATTTTCGTGTATAAGCTTATTTGTGTTGAAAAAATTATGATTGTTTCAACTATCTTTGCCAAATTAGATATTAATGTTATTGATATGTCGCCTGATTTATGAATCGGTGTTATTATTCCTATTTAGTAAGGGTCTGGGAAAACCCCAGATTGAATTGTCAAATTTGTGAAAAATGTTAGTGGTGCTCTAATTTCAGGCGCAATTTTTTTGAGTACCTCTGACCGTATGCCATCTGAACCTGGACTTTTTTAATTTTTTAGGTTGTAAATTGTATATTCTGTTCCATTTTCTGTAACTGGTTCAAGAAAGATTGAATTTTGTATGATTACTTTAGATGGAATATTTGTGTTAGGTTTATTTGTTTTAGTTGCCAGTCTCTCCCACTTGAACAAAATAGTTATTGAAAACGTTAGCAATATCTGTATCTGCAATTATTACAGTATTATTAGTTTGGATTAGTTCAATACTTGTTATTGGCTTGTTTGAGTTACAGATTTGGTTGATGGTATTCCATACCGCCTTAGAGACTTTTGAATATGGACAATTCTTAGGCAAATCCACATCAAAGTTTAGTTCAATCCAGTTGACTGTTTTGCAGATACAAATTAAAAAAAAATGTTTTTTATTTTCAAACTTCAACACCCGTATCTTTTTAATGAAGCTTTTGAGGAAAAAATGTTACATAGAAGATCCCACTTCAAATGCGGTTCTGGGTGTGTTTGACTTTTGGTCACGACTTGTGAATCACCCTGTATATAATATTTAAAGAGCATAACAGAAAAACTAAAAATTACAAACAATTGATAAAACCCCACACTAAAGCTATTTTGGTGTAGGCTCCTGAAAAACTAACACCTTGTTCACTTTCATTCATGATCAAAAGTCACTCCTTGTGCGAAAAGCTTGAATTTCACGACCTTTAAAAAAAAAAGATGTTTAATTTCTTGCAAGATCTAATACCGGTTTATCCCATTTTGCCAATAAAAGACTAAATGTGACCCAGAATAAATTCAGTACTCACTACCAACGTTGATTATCATCACCCTGGCTCCACTGTTAGCTCTGGATGGCATAAATCTGAATACTTCATGGTCAAACACATGCCTGACACAATGCGGAGTTATGTTGATACCATACTTCGGATGTTTCACCTTGAATTTGTAGAACTTCTTCATAATTTTATACGCGTGCTCTGCGTTCCATCTGCAGGGCCTTAAAAATTTGGTGAGGTATGCATCGTCGGTATGAGGGACATGCAGTTCTTTATCAGCTAAAAAGGTTTAGTCATTCATTGATCAACAAAATCCGAAAAAGAATCCTGCATGCTTGTCTGGACACTAGATGAAACCACATATGCTTGAAACATTGTTTAGTGACGGCGTTTCAGCCACTGGCAATGACAATTGTCATTTGTGCTTGAACAATCCACCGTGATGGCCGCACGTAGTCAGTAAACAGTATTCCAAGCGCATGTGGTTTCAAACAAGCATGAAGGATTTTCCGCATAAGAACCACATTTAAGCATATTTGGTATTTATGTCAAGCGACGTTGTCCGTTATAAGTACATCTAGGATTAAATGTTTTAATTCTAGCAAATTTACCTTCGACAAGTTCTTTCATATGCCTCAAGCCTTCTTGTACATTTTCTGGGGTCTCTTTCAGTTCATCTTCAGCCCTTGCCTTATCTTTTCCATTCAGTTCCTCCAGATCCAATCTCATCTGATGAGAGCCCAATTGTATGAAAGGCACCCCATCATTACCTTTTTCCACGCAGAGCACCATCCTCAAGCATCAAACTGTAAAACGAAAATTGCTTATCTTAAATAGAGAAGACGTACAATGTGTGATCAGAAAAGACAAGTTTGGTTTATTAATTTCCAAAGTTACTGTTTCTCCTTCATTATTCACATCGGACGGAACATGCCAGAAATGTAACTGAAACTCTTAATAATCTCCAGTGGGATGCCTGATAGACCATCTCATAGGTGTCAAGTGGAATTCCTGCCTACACACCTTTGGACCTCTCTCATGGGAAGAGGGTTCATCGGTGTATCACATAAATGCAAGTAAGTATCACGTAAAGTGGAACCTCGAATATTCATCCCATGTGGCATGATAAGGGATGGTACCACATGTTTTTGAGTTCCAAATGCGCTTCAAGTGAGGAATAAACCCAAGAATCGTTGATCCACGGCAAGCCCATTTCTCTCTACTACAAAACGGATTCTAAACGCGGAATTTACTAACTAGTGTTCAACCGATACAAATCAGAAAGTTAATAAGGATCAGAACTATTGAATTAAAAAAAGCAAAAGATAAATGTATATTCGCGATGCTATTTTTGGGATTTCTAACGTTTTTGTGCAGTATTGCACATCAGTAGATATTTTTGGATTTGATGCGATTTGATTTGTAAGTGATGTGTGCCAATCTTTGACCAAAGGGTGGGAACAAAATTTCATTTTTTTTTTTATTTCACGTATACTATTACAAACGCATTCGTAATTGACGCTGGGAGGGTTTTATATGTGTATGCGGATATTCAAAGGCAACTGGTTCCTTGAAATACGTTCTTTGAAAACCATTTCATGATAGGGATTCTCCCAGTATGCATCGTTTTTACTTTTCACGCCTATGGCGGGGAATATTGTAATCGCAAAAATTTTCGAAAATGAGTTATTATTCTTTTTGGATGTTATTTGACATGTCACTCTTTTCCGTCGGTCTGTCTGTCTGTCCTCTAATCTTACAACCGCCTATAACTTGAGAAGTACCGCTCGGATTTCAAAGAAATTTCCACATAATATTACTACTATGCCAAGGACGGAAAAACTTTGTAGTTTTTGAAAATCGGTTCAGTGGCGGCGGAGAAAAAGGCCGAAAACAAAAAATAAAAATCGCACAAACTTCGTTCTTTTGTCGTTTTAGACGATCATTTTCGAAAAAAAAATGCAGGGGTTAAAAATTGTAAAAAATTAAAAAAATCTAAATCTTGCGGTTTTGATGAAATTCCCAATTTTCTGATAAAAGAAGTACTACATCTTATAATAAAACCAATAACACACCTTATACATATCTCATTTTGCTGCGGAGAGTTCCCAAGTAGGCTGAAACTAGGCAAAGTTATACCAATTCTAAAAAATGGGAACGAGCTTGTTATTACAAACTACAGGGCAATCACTGTACCGTCTGTACTTTCTAAAGTGTTTGAATATGCCCTTTTGGATAGACTTCTTCTACATCTTAAGAACAACAATATTTTGTCTCAAAACCAGCATGGTTTCACAAATGGTAAGACCACAATGCCAGCCATACATTCCTTCTATGAGAAGCTTATAGAATACATCGACGCGGGCGAGTGCCCTACTGGGGTATTTTGTGATCTCAGTAGGGCATTCGACTGCGTTGATCACAACAAATTCTTGGAGATTGTTGTTAAATATGGTTTTGTCGGTCAGTCTCTTAAATGGTCCAGATCGTTTTTAGTCCAAAGAAAACAATATGTTTCAGTACAACATCTTAATGCAGGGAACAATATGAAAAACTTTGTGTCAAGTACGTTAAACATCTCGATTGGAGTCCCCCAGGGCTCTATTCTTGGACCAATCTTTTTCCTCTTATACATTAATCAGTTTGATAATGTTCATCCAGATACACATTTTACAGCATATGCTGATGACATTTCTGCCTTAATATCAAGTAATTCAAATATAATTTTGGAAAATAAATGAAACAACTTAATTAGGAATATCAATACATGGTTTAACCAGTATTCACTTTACTTGAATCCTTCCAAAACAACGCTTATTCGTTTCCATCATGCTCAAAAAACTGTTTCAAGTTAGATTGGGTGACGATCAACTCGATTTTAGAGGAGCAGTGAAATTTCTTGGAGAGTTCATTTTGATTCGAACTTAGATTGGAAGGCCCACTGTGAATTTCTCACATCAAAAATGTACTTTCAAAGCTATGTGTTGAGGCTATTAAAAACCATCTTAACAGCTGAACAATTGATACAAGTTTATTTTGCTAATGTGGATTCGAGATTAAGATAGAGTATGTTTCTGGGGTTGGTCAACGCGCTCTGAAGATGTATTTGTGTCTCAAAAAAGATGCATCCAAAGTGCAAACAATATTTTGTAAGTTTCAACATTTTAACTGTGTCTTCGTTGTATATATATGACTTGTGCTTACATGTTTTTAAAAATAATGAAAAATCCAAGCGAAATTGTGATATGCATAATTATGATACAAGGACTTGTAATAATTTATATGTAAACTTCAGGAAATCAAAAGCGGCATTTCGATCACCGAATAAAATTGGTCTGCTTCTTTTTAATAATTTATCATGCCACATTACCTCGATTAAAAATATTAACGACTTCAAGTTCCAGTTGAAGCAATTTTTGATAAACAAGTGCTTTTATCGTGTTGAATTTTTGAACATTGCAATTTGAGATTAGTTGTAGGTTTGTAGCGAACGAAAAATTGACAATTCCAATACAATTATATATTGTCTGTATGGAAATAAAGCTAATTGAATTGAATTGAATTGAATTGAATTGGGTAGGGGAGGCTATATCTCAATTTTGTGATGTTGGTATATTTATACCCGTTCAATCCCAGCAATTCTACGCACGCTCGGGGGGAAATGGAATGGCGGTTTATTTTTTTGTTATACGTGTTCGTAGCTAACTTTTTTCTCAGAAGGGCTGACTTGTGCCAAACATAATCCTTTACGAACTAACGACAGCGTACATAGTCAACTTACTTGACGTCATTTTTTTACTTTACAGAAGAACCAACGTGTTCAAACCAGATTGCTGGATTATGTACAGAAAAATTTGAATGACCGATTGGCCGATCGATTTATCGGCTTTTGTAATATCGGTATTGGCCGATTATTGGTATCGGCAAAACTATTATTATTAGTGATTCATGGCGGCGTTAAAAGAATTATGACCTCTATCAGGTTATACATTTTTGTAGGGGATTAATATGGAAACATCGTACAAAATTTTGCATTCAAGCTAGAAACAACTTATCTTTGTCGCAAGGATAATGCGCTATTGTTATTCATTTCACAGAACGCGTCTTCCTGGAAAAGAAATAAATATTTCTATGAAAAGCAATGATTGTCTCATTTTATAAAAATATTATTGTTTTTTTAAACATAATTTATATTCTATATAATCTCTAACCTTTATCATGAAATTACTGAAAACAATTGTTGAATTTGTTGTACCTTCCAATAATTGGTGCCTGAACGTCGAATAGGTCGTTTCAAAAATGTTTTGTTTATTATCAATGTCTGTTTTTCATCTCCTTTTGTCACAATTCTCAGATTTTTATGCTTTATCAAGATTCACGAATAGTCAACAGCGTTAACGAACGAAATTTTGCCGGAATGAAATGTTTATGAATAAAATGAAACATCTGCAGTCGATGTCAAAATAGTAACTTGGTCCAACTAAATTTCTGACACCTCGTTCAGTTAGAAACTAATTAGTGCTTCAAGAGACTCTAAAAATACAGTTTTAGGTAGCAACTCTATTCATCATTATAATCAAAACATATGTTTTTACTTCCCATGCCTACTGTCGAGGAAGAATTGTAATCGCGAAAACTTTCGAAAATGTGATATTGTGTTTTTTGGATGTTACATGAAATGTATATCACAGAAAACCATGTCACTTATTTCTGTCAGTCTGTCGGTTTGTCTGACGGTCTGCTTGTCGGTCTCTCTGTCTGTCTGTCCGCTAATTCTTAGCTCGTTTGTAGCCTGGAAAGTACCGTTCGGATTTTGATGCAATGTTCACATAATGTTACTATTATGCCAAGGACACAAAAGCTTTGTAGTTTTCAAAAATCGGTACAGTGGCGGCGGAGAAAAGCGTCAAAAACGGAAAAAATAAAAATTGTCCAAGCTTCGTTTCTTGACATTTCAGATGATACTGATAATTTTTCAAAAATGTTTAGGAGTAAAAAATTTAGGGTGGGAGTCTGTAGGAAGGAGAGTGTATCGCAATTTTTGATGTAAGTATATTAATTCACTTCCAGCCCTGATTGAAGCTCAATGACTTGAAAACCAAAGTATGTTGTGATGGTTCTAGACTAGCGATTCTGAAGTGTAAACAAGTAATAAATACGAACATATTTTTAGAAGGAATGAACATTGAATTTGTTGAAGAAACAAAAAATTTGGGAATAGTACTTGATAAGAAGTTTTGAAAGTCACATTATAAACAAGCTCAGAATATGTTATTATAAATACAAATCGCTATGGAGATATAAGTATATATTAACAAGTGACATCAAACTAGAACTTGTTAATGCATTAATCCTCACACATTTAGATTATTGTAGTACTGTATATTACCCTTTTATCACAGAGGACATGCAACAGAAAATTCAAGTTTTACAAAACCATTGTATGAGGTTTTGTTTCAATGAGATAAACAGACGCGAACACATTACTGGGTATTATGTAAGGGAAAATCTTTTAAAGTTCAAATATCGCTCGTTACTTCTCTATGCTGTTCTATTATTTAGGGTTTTAAAATATAAATCTCCGAAATATCTTTTTGACACATTAGAGAAAAGATCTTCACTCCATCAACTGGTCCTCCGTAATGAATGTTGTTATAATATACCAGCCCACACTACCTCAAAATTCAAAAAATGTTTCTATTACATAGCTCCTAGTATACTAAATGATTACCCAATTTTCTTTAAATTAACGTCCATTCACAGCTTCAAAAGAGAATTCAAAAGAATTCTATTACAGTTACAATTT